CTTCACAGATAGTGTGTTACTCACTTCTCTCAACAATATGAGACAGATACTATGTTTATGCCTCCTCTCCATCTCTGCTTTGCTACCACTGCTCTAATTCAGGCCTTCAGCATCTCTCAGTGAACCATTAGGCTAGCCCCCTAACATGTCTTTCTCCTCCAATTTGCCTCCCTCTAATCCATTCTCTACTCTGCAGCAAAAGTAATCCCTCGCACAAAGAAAGCAGTCCCCTTCCTTTCCCTCCTCACACCCCTCAATAGCCGCCCTCCCACTTAGGATAAAATCCATATCATTAGTATTGCCTGCCTGGTTTGACTCCTGCCTGGCTCTCCCATTTCATTTCTCTCCACTGCTCATGCTGAACTCTGTGCCCCAGCAACACGGACTGGCTAATGGTTTCCATCGACCCTGTGAAATTCCTCACCTTGTATCTTGATTTTGCTAACCCCTCTCCCTGTAATGCTGCATGCCCTCCCTTTAGTTTGCTAACTTCTCTTTAACTTGTAAGAGTCAGCCCACTCCTGAAAAAACTTTCCCAGTGATCACACACACACACACACACACACACACACACACGTCACCGATGCCCGAGCTATACTGTGCACACCTCTCTCACTGTACTTATCACATTACACACCATTATGTATTACTGTGCCTGTCCTCTCATTAAGCTGTCAGCTATCGTAGGAAAGGCTTATTATGCATTTGTCACTTAGTATTGTACCTGGCATCTAGTAGATGCTCAATAAATGATTATTGAAGCATTATTTCAACAAGCCTGAATTTTAAACTCAGGAGACTACTGCTCACAGGGGTTAAAGGATTTTTTCAGGTTATGAACTAATAAATAAGAGAAATGAGATGCTAATCTAGGTCTTTCTGACTCCCCAAATACTTCAGACTACACCACACTCCCTTCAAAGGGACAGCAGATAATTCTGTGAGCTGAAAAATTTATATCTCTTGAGGAAATATTTTGTATTGTTTTTACTTCTTTTGAATCTCAGATCCTTTTGAGAATGTGAGGAAAGCTATTGGCATTTTCACCAGAAAAATTCACACACACATCAAATTTTGTCCACAATATGGGAGTATACTTGTCAGGATATGATAACTATTGCTGCAGTAACACATGAATCACAAGATCTCAATGACAAGCACAACAGATGTTTAATTCTCACTCAATAAAGCCCTTTGTGGGTCACTAGAAGCTCTCTTCCACCTGTGACTCAGGGTATAGACTCCTTCCACCATAAGACAGTGTTATCTCAAGACATGCTTCCAAATCAATAGGACAGAGAAGAGAGAAATGCAGAAGGCACACTGGCTCTTAACTGACTCAGCGTGAAGTTGCTGCATGTCTGTGGTAAATTGCAAAATGTCCACAAATTCCTTCCAACCCTGTATGTGTAGCTCTTTGTAATGTGATGCTGCTGGTCCTCCCATCAACGGAAATAAGCTATTTCTCCATCTCTCGAATATGGGCATGGCATTGCCTTGGCCAATGGGACATCTAGAAGCATAACACAAGCAGAGGCTTGGAAAGCACTTGTGCATTGAGGCTCGCCCTTTCTTGCTACTTTTTACAACCATGAGTTCACTGTGAGATCAAGCCATAGTTAGTCTACTTGGGGACATGTACCCCAGTCACCTCATCACTTCAGCCAACAGCCAGCCCAACTGACAGAATGGATCATCAAGTAGGTGAGTAAGGCCATCCTCGATCAACCAGGCCCCAGCTGACCTACCCACTGACGGAACCCAGGCAAGACCAGCAGAACCACCCAGCTTAGCCTAGACCTATTTGATGACACAAAGGATTATGAGCTGATAAATAATTATTGTTTTAAGTTACCACATCTTGGGACTATTTGCTATGCAGCAAAAGCTAACTAATCAAAAATAGGTGCTAAGAGTGGAGTGCTGCTCTAGCCCAAACCTGAAACGTGGCATTGGCTGTGGACCCAGGTGGAGGCTGGAAAATCAGTCATCAAATGTTGGAAAAACAACAAACTATTAGACCATAGACTTTAGATCCATAGACCTAAAGTTACAAATTCCTACATGTGGTTTAAAGGCCTAGAGACCTATAATCAGTTTAAAAACGTCTCTCGTGTTCAGAGACAAGAGCGATAGCCCCTCATCAGAGCAGCTACACCAGAGGAGTGATTAGCTGTAATAATCATTCTAGACCTAAATCAGTGCTGGCATTTCCTAAGGGAAGGGCTGATCTTCAGAATTAGAAAAAGCAGAGTTTGGGAGGCAGAAAAAAAAACTTATATCTAACCATAGATTTGCTGATGACCAGCTGTGGGACCACCTGTGTGACCCCATCTCAGAGACATGGAAGATGATACTTAGTTTGGTGGCTTATTGTCAAGATCAAGTGAGATGATGAATGGGAAAACTGCTAAATTACTAAGAAACGGCCATGAAAAATATGTGTATTATTCTCACTGCCATCTGAGGTGCCATGCTCCTGGTCTGGCCTCAGGTGAGCAGCACCTGAAACACTAGGAGGCGCTATGAGGCTGTAATTTCAGGAGGCCTATTGGAGCCTGGAACCAAAGAACCCCCAGGGAGGCAATCGGGAAGGCTTTCTTGAGCAAGTGACTTTAGTATAAAACCAGAATAATGAGTTGTATTTAACCAAGTGGTGCCTATCCTGGGCAGAGGGAACACCATGCACAAAAATCTGGAGGGGGAGAGAGCACGTGGTTCATTCCCGTAACTGCCCGCTCTAAGATTCGTGGGTTCCTCCTTGAGTACACCAGGTTGAGGAGGTAGAAGAGGAGCCTGCCTTATCTTGTAAGGATTTGCTTTCTCCTAAATGCAGGCAGACATGAGAGAAGACACAGATCTTTCTTGAAACGTAATTTTCTGCTTGTTTACAAATGATTAACTACCACAATCAATCGTGTCAAAGTTCAGGTCAACTGCCTCCTTTGGGATGGTGGTGAGCTTTATGTTTGGGCTAACAACAGCTGGAGTGCACACAGGATGGTCTGACAGCAGAGCTCGTGTTCTGTGTCTTGGACACCATTAATGTGAGGATACTACTGTCCTCTATGGTTTTCCATTGTCCCCTCATTAGGCTTCCTTATTCGCATTTCCAGACCCAGCCTGGCTACTCGAGACATGGCAGGGTGGGGAGAACTCCAACTGTGTCAGGAAAGAGATCAAGGTTGTAATGTTTCACACATTCAAACACTACGACAACTTTATGCAGTGGATATTAACAAATTATTATCCCCATTCTACAGATGAGAAAACAGAGTCTCAGAGAAATTATGTAAGTTGTTTAAGGAGATCAAATCCAGTCTGTGTTCTCTCTGCTAGCCCCACCTCATGCATCGCCTGCCACCTCTGCCCTCCGAGGGTCCCCACCCACACCTGCAGCATGGACCGCGACAGCACCCTCAGCCACTGTGTACACTCAGCCCTTCATGGTTTGCAGATTGGTTTGGTAATTGCAAAGTTAGTGCAGCTTGGACTTTAAAGTTGATTTGAGGGAAGTCAGTGATGGTTTTCAGGAAGGTAGGTTTGAGAGCCTCCGTCATTTGTATATTGCCTTTGAGTTGGAAAAGGGCTTCTCTCTCGCCACACCCCTGTGCTCCTTGCCACAGGCAGAGTGGGCACCGTCTCCAGATGGGGGGATCAGGGCTGGCACGCTGTGTCCGAGCTGGAACTGAAAATGTGAAAATGCCCATCCCACAGCTGGTCATGAGCAATCTAGGAGGCATTTCTAGAGGTTTCTAGGTAAATGTTTGCTTGGATTATGCCATTTCAAGAGCACTTTAGTGTGATATTTTTGCTCAGTCCAGTTTAACGGTGAGGGGAGGCAGGCTGATTTGTGAACTATCCAGAATGATAAAAGGGTGAAGATGGAAGCTCCCCTCCAGGCTCGAGTAAAACGAATGTGACTCACCATACGCGAGTGATGCCTGCCTTAGCTGTGCTCAGCCCTAGAGGAAAGACAGGGGGTCTCCCTGACCTTGAATGTGGGAGAGGTGACAGGTGAAGGGCAAAGGCATTTATTGAGCTCTTTTTATGTGCAGCTATCACTTATGGCTTTTCAGGGTCACTCGCAAATGCTAGAGATGAATGTTAAATCTTCCTGTACCAATCGCCTACTATACTTCACTTCCCAACAAGATCAGGGAAGCTGTTTCCCCCTAAATAGAATGAAATTCTACATAAGTTGTATAACAACAACAACAACACATATTTGGATAATTATTCTCTTATAGTTATTTTTATAATGCCTGTCTGTGCAGCATTTCACACTTGGTGTATCTTCTCACTCTCCCAGCTCTGAGCAATAGATAGGCATAGTCATCCCAACCTCACATAGGAGGAAACAGAATCAGAGACGGCCAATAAAAATATGAGCTGAATACAAAGAGAGCACGGAGTATTTGCTGGGCAATGCTCAAAGTGTTCTGAATATTTAGATTTGTTTAATCTTCACAACCACCCTGTGAGGTAGGTGCTATTATTATCCCTGTTTTATAGATGAAACAGGCCTAGAGAGGGTGAGTGATTCGCCTTGTGTCCCACAGCTGGTGAATCATACAGAAAGAATTCACACTCAGGTGAGAGCCCTACAGCCTCTTGCCGTCTTGCTCAAAATCTCACAGCCAGAAAGAGGCAGAATTTGAATTCAAACCTTGGCCCACCTGACTCCAAACCCTGCCTTCCACTTAGTAGAAATAGCTCGCGTGTCTGAGTGTTCAACAGGGGTCTGTTCTAAGCACTTTCCTTGTCTTAACTTGTTTAATTCTCAACGTTTTGTAGGTGAGGAAAGTGAGACCCAGAAGTAAAGTAACTTGTCCGTGGTCCCAAAGCTGGTGAGTGGCAGAGAATGTCCTTGGGTCCAGGCAGTCTGCAGCTAGAGCCCGCAGTCCTCACGACCTCACTAACAGCCTGTCCTCTCAGCGGCTCGCCCCAGAGTCTGTCACAGATGAATAAACACCACGTTACTGCAGGGCTTTCCATGCTTCTCATTGGTTTCCAGAGTGACGGGTAAGTTTTCGGTCTGTGCAAAGTCTAAGGAGTTTGCAGGCACTGGTGGCTGTCTGTTTACTCTGCTGAGCTGTTTGCTTTATGGGGGCAGGAGCTGACAGTGGCCCTCCCTGTGTAGGCTTGTCATGGATCTAGGAGCCTCGGTGGCATCTCCTGTCACATAGGAAAAAATGAAGAGATCCAGGACATGGGCTTGGAGGGCACCGGCAGAGCTGTTTCTTCTCTGCGCTGCGCTGGGTTGTCTCGGTTTGCCTGGCTCCAGGTAAGTGATGGTTACAAATGACTCCTTGATCAATAATGTGACAGGGAATATAAAGCCACATAATGCTGACCGTCTCTTTGCCACATGTCTATTGAATGAGGAACATCTCTTAAAGCAATTTGCATGCATCTGATAAAATAATATCAACAACTCTCTTCAAATCATTGTGAAACCAAGCGGCTGACTTCAACAAAAGTTCCCGTAAGAAACTGACATGTTTAAATGTGTTTTGTCATGCTGAGAAGAATAGAATATTTGCTCTGTATTCTGAACAAAGCCATGGTGTGATTCTTTATGCAAAATAAAATTTGCTATGTATGGGGAGAAAAAGAGCCAATTCATATGAACGATTTTAATAAATGAGAGTGACCCACTCTACCTGCTCATCAGCTCCAAATCTTTGTGTTCTGAGGTTCTCTCCCTCCCACTTCTCTCTCTCTCTCCCACCCCCTCTCTCTTTCCAGATGTCTCCAGCAGTTAAATGCTAGCTAATTTATTTCATCATTTTTAGTCTCCATTAATAGCGTACAAAACAAGCTAAAGAAAAGATCTTAGTGAGAGCTCACACTTGGGCTCCAGTGAAAGAACAGCCAGTGACTTGAAAACTGGGGGACCCTCCTGCTGCATGAGAAGCCCCTACCATGAGATGCTGGAGTGCTCAGGCCTCCCAGGCCTCCCTGTGAGAGCTCCTATGGGAAGAGAGACTATGAATGTCATTCCTTTTACTTAGTCCAAAACTGCTATCTGGACACGACCTCTCACTGAGAGTAAGGGGTCCCCAGTGCCCACCAGACACACCCTCTGGTCTCAGCTCTGCTGCCTACTCAGCCCCCATCAGACATCACCCCAAGAACAGGACTGTGAGTATTCACTACCCTTTGGGCACTCAGTAAATAATAGCCGTTAGGATAATTAAGAATCTCAATTTAGCCAGAGAATAACTAAGCTGCCAAGACCTTCCTTGTATGTACCACGTGTATACAGAGAAGCATTCGGGATCCAGGGAAGTGTGTCTGGAATGGAAGGCTTAAGGGAACCGTAGCAACCCTGCCTACAGCATCGTGCCTCTGCGTAAAGCCACTTGTTGGTCTCTGAGGATACAGAGATTTACAAGACACAAAGAGCCCGTGTTCTAACCTGTGAGCTCATTCCATGTGTCCTGTTGCAAGAGATGGTACAGGGCAAGCAGAAAACAAGGAGCGAGGGATCAGCTCTATGGGGCATGGGGTATGGAAAGTCTTCTAGAAGAGAGTGCTTGGCCAAATCTTTACAGATGAGCAGGTATATGCCAAATGGCTAAGGGGTGAAGGGTTTGCCAGGCAGAGGGAGCAGCACGGGGAAAGGCATGGGAGTGTGAGAGAGCTGGCTTGTTCGCAAAGATTCCGTGCACTTCAGTGGGCCACGAGCACAGGCCCCGGTGGGCAGCTGGAAGGGATGACGTGGAGTAGGCGTGAGCAGCCGTCAGACCACAGGCAGAGCTGGGGGGACCCTGGAGCACCTGCTAAGGAGCTTGAACCAATGTCCTCTGGGCAATGGGAAGCCATTGAAGGGTTGAAGCAAAGGGGGCAACAGCATCTATTTATACACAAGAACGTTCACTCTGCCATAGGGAGTGGATAGGAGTGAGTGAGTAGAGCGCAGGCTGGGGAACCTTATTTAATCCTCCCAACAGCATCACAAGGTGAGTGATACCCCTTATTCTCACCATGCAGAAGAACAAACTGGTCTTTAGAGAGCAAAAGTGATGCTCTCACGTTTAGTGAGACTCAAACCCTTGCCTGAGTCCAGGCTTAGTGTCTGACCTGCAATTCCCACAGGGCAGTCCCGAATGTGGCAGGTATTTGGATTCCATCCATGAAGAAAAACAGTCTTTAGTTCTGGAACAGAAAATGCTGACACTGTCTTCATAGTACCTAAAAGAGTTTTTTGGGCTTTTTTCATTTACTATTATCATCAATTCAGATGAAATCATCATCACGTTGTCATAGACCTGTCATTTATTGATTGCCACTCTGTGCCAGACACTTTGAAACGTTAGCTCTAATCCCCACAGCTCTTTGAGGTACGTGCTACTGTTTACAGTTTCACAGAGAGGGAGACTCAACTGTGGTTCAGAGAAATCATGTAACTGTCCCAAGGCTACTCACTCAGTACACAGCAGACTCGGGATTCAAATCCAGTTTGTTCAGGTTCCAGAGCCCCTGCATGCTCTCCGCATCTTTCTCTCACTAATGCATCGTGTATGGGACTTGCCAGCCTCCCAGGCCGTTTCTCTATCTCTAGGACACACATTTGTTGCCTTGAGATGTTGCTTTAAATTTCGTGTCTACCACAGCAAACGACAGAGAGAAGAGAAATTGAAAACCTGCCACCCAGAAGCTGCCCCTTCTAGCAAAGAAAAAGGATGCTGTTTGCAAAGGGGATGCAGCTGCCTAACAAATTGTGTGTGACAAGAAAGTTGTTGTGTCAGGGCATTTCTACGGAAAGCCAAAATATATTGACGCACCCCATCTATATAAGCTGATGGCTCGCAATTTACTGCTGACCTAATCCTGCCGTACTGGATGGATCCATCTTTATTTTGATCAGAGACGTCTGTTAGGAAGAGAGTGGGAGACCTGGGCCAAATGAAATATGTTCTAATGCCAGCTACAGCATTCCCTGCACCCCAAAGAAAAATACCTCCTTGCCAGCCCTTAAGTGGAGAGAGCACATGTTCAAGGACTTGTGCAAGGGTGTTTCCTGTAGCATTATTTGCAATTGCAAAACATTGAGAAAATTCAAATGTCCCTCAGAAAGAAAAAGAGGGCCAGATGCGGTGGCTCACACCTGTAATCCTAGCACTCTGGGAGGCTGAGGTGGGAGCATCATTTGAGCTCAGGAGTTTGAGGCCAGCCTGAGCAAAAGCAAGACCCCATTTCTACTAAACATAGAAAAATTAGCTGGGTGTCAGGTGCATATCTATAGTCCCAGCTGCTTAGGAGGCTGAGGCAGGAGGATGGCTCAAGCCCAGGAGTTTGAGTTTGCAGGGAGCTACAATGACACCACTGCATTCTACCAGGGGCAACAGAGTGAAACTCTGTCTTAAAGAAAAAAAAAAGAAGAATAAATTAAATGCAATGTAAGTCTTGTTGTCCTGTGGTTGAACATCCAGATAAAAAAAATGAAATGAACTAGATCTCTTTATGAATCAGCATGTCTAGGCCTCAGAAATGCAATGTTGATTGACAAAAGCAAGTAATATGTATAGTATGAGGAAAGCACACACAAGCAATGCTATATATAGTTTACATGTGATAAAATATTTAAAAGAGACTGGAAGGGTACACACCAAATTCATGGCAATAGGTGCTTCTGAAGAGGGGGAGGGAAGTGGAACTGGGGCTGCTATAAAATGCAGGTGTGGACTCTGCAGGGATTTTTTTTTTTTATTAAAAAAAAGGACTTGAAGCAAGTGTCCAAAATGTTAACAATTGCCAATCTGGGTGGGAGTACATGGGTGTTTATTATTTTATTTTGTATACTTCTCTAGCATGTTTAATTTTTCAGCTTTAAAAGCATACAGAGGGTTTTGAATGATGACAGTTAAGTCAGCTGGTCCCAATGTCCATCCGGTTTGTTTCTACAGCAATGCATAGGCCTGAAACGCAGGTGTGACCCTGTGCAGAGGCCCTGATGGGACCTGGCCTTTAGGGGGCTCCCAATTCTTCCCAGGAATTCAAGATGCTATTTAATGCTAGCCTTTCTTTCAGATTTGCACTTTGTTGTGCTAATAAACCACACACGTCTCATCCGATGTAATTTACAAACATACTATTTATTCAGCTGATTACTTCATTATATTGCCACCTCCATAATGAAAATTGGGTATAAAAATGAGAGATCTGGTGGTTATAACTACTGTTTACCAGGTTCCTTCTATAAGTGATCATCTTGGCCATTAACAAGCTTTCAAATCTCGGAGAGGAAAATAATTGTGACTCTTAATAGCTAGGATGTACATTACTTATCCACTCAGTCTCAACTGTGGCCCCGGAGTTGGCTTGAGAGTTGCTAAAAACACAATGCAACTGTTTTGCAGTTGAAATAGGAAGAGGCTACCCTGCAGAGCTGTCAAATACATACTTAGGAGAAGCCAAATCACAGACAATATTGTTTTGTCAAACCTGGGCAAATTAGTAGATAAGAACACATTCTGAAGCCCACCCGCTGGTGTGCAGCATCCTGCCTCAAGTAACCATTTTAAAGTATCCACCTGTGCTTTCCAATAGAGTCTTTGACCTTTCATTAAAGATCCAACTTTACTAGGCAATTGATTTTTGCTGGTCTCTGGGGTGGTCACAGACATGGATTTCACCGTCGTTAATATTATCCTCTTTTTAGGACTTTTGCCAAGTGAGAACGTATTGTTAATGACCTTGTCTGGAGTGACATCCTGTGTATTGGAGACAGTGAAAACTGTGTGATGCTCTTCTCCCTAATGACTCAATCTTGGATACAGGGATGGAAGAGGCCTTACTTAGAGACTGGAGGGGGTTGTGGGAGCTAGCGCTGGCCCGGTTCCCTTCCACGCAGCACGGGGCAGTGGACAAAGCACATGCTTTGAGACCTGGCCTCAGATTCCAACCCCACTGCACACCAGCTGTGTGATGGTGGAAGTGTCACTGTCTCTCTGGGCCACCTGCTTCATCTGTCCGGGAAGCAATGCTCCATAGCTGCTTTCCAGCATTGCTGGGAAGATGGAACGAGACAACATGGATAAACACCTAGGACAGTCCTGATATGTCCATCATGAGTGCTCAGCAAACCTCTTCCTTTTCTCATCTTGTCTTCTTTTTTGCTTTGGAAAAGAACACAAATTACAAAGGATCTTACAGTGTAATACATTCTTCCAGATGGAGGAAAAAGCAAGAATCATGATATACCCGTCATATTGCTGATGGGGAAACTGGAGGCCCAGGCAGATGAAAGAGCATGCTCATTCACTCGCACACGTCCCACTGTGCACCAGGAACTGAACAAGAAGCACTGCCTTATCTTCTGGACATATTTCAGGTCTCACGTGGCTTGACCACTCTGCAGATGTGACACCGTCTGCCGTCTGCTCCTCCACCAGCCCCAGGCCTCACCCCCCGCACATCTCTATAGACTCTCTGCACCCTGGACTGGCACGGCACCTGTGTCTCCTGGTCTGCTGGTGGTGCTGATGTTTCCCAATGGCTTATCCTTGGCTTGCTTCTCTTCTTAATAGCCATCTCATCCTCTTCCAAAGCTTTTCATGGTCAGATCTTTATCTCTAGCACAAATCTCTTTCTGAGCTCTAAACCCATGTAAGAACTATTAATATTTCCTGAATGAGTCTACACAGGTGTTCCATGGGCACCTGGAACTCAGCATGCACCCAGGGAAACTTAGATCTTCCTCAGCAAGTCTTCTCCTTTCCTCCTGTGCTTCCCACCACTCACGTGCTCAAACTGAAACTGGTATCAATCTAGACTCTTTCCTCCTCTAACACCCGCCCCCATTGCCACCCAATTACCCATCACTTTCAATCCCTTCCACCTGAGAAACATCTCATATGCCTGTCTTCCCCATCCTGTCTCCCCGGCCACTGCAGTGGTTCAGATGCATGCTACTCACTGGCACTGCTATGCTAGCCTCCTCCCTGTTGCCCTGCTGCCAGGCTGTCCTGACTCCTACCCAGCCTACATGCATTCTGAAGCACAGTTCTAGCCATGGGGCATGCATGCTGAAAAACCTGACCTACTGGGTAAAGTCCTACAGAGCTAAGACATGAGACGCCTTCTCTTTTCCTACTCTAAGACAAACAGTGACTTCCAGAAGGCAGAACCTGTGTCGTATTTCTCTGTATCCCCGGTAGCACGATACCCTGAGTATAGTTTATTTTCAGCAAATGTTTCATAGACTCTTAACATCAAAACATATCTTAAAGACAATCTAGTCCAAACCTCTCATTTTCCAGAGGCTAAAACAGAGGCCCAGAGATGGGAAGCAAATTGCTTAAGATTATACATCTAGCTGTGGTTGTATTCCCTGAATATCTATAGCACTTTAGAGTTTACAAAGTGTTTTCCCATATAATATCATTTTTAATCCTAGAAATAGCTTACAGTGTAGGTATGATTATCCTCATTATATAGATGAGAAAAGTGAAGCTCATACAGTTAAAAAAACAAGACAGACTATCTTCTGATCCAAGTTCAATACTCTTTTGACCATAGCTAGCCATAATGTCAGGCACTTACTGGGTTTTCAATAAATATTTGTTAAATGAATTAACCTATACTGGAATGATAAGCTAATAGCCTTGCACAAGTGAAAAAAACACACGTTTATTGAATGAATGGCTAGGTGGTTGTATACTTAATTCCCTTCTGGTACTTAACTCTCTTTTCTCATGCTGACTTTTTAGAGGTGAAAGGCTGCCTTCCTTTGAGTCAAGTGTAGTCAACAAGAGCTTTGCTAAGAACAGACAGACACGGAGTGTGGATGTGACCCCTATGCCTATAGATTGTGAGCTGTCCAGCTGGTCCTCCTGGACCACGTGTGACCCCTGTCAGAAGAAAAGGGTAAGTCTCCAAGCCTGGGGAAGCTCTAAGCTTCCAGGAGCCCTGACCTCAGCAGGGTTGGCTGAGGCATTGCCTGCAGGGCCTGGATCATAGTAGGCCCCCAGTAAATGTTGGCTGATTTAAATAAAGAAGCCTTTCCCTCTGTGCTTCCAAGTAGCAATCATATCCTTCCTTTGTTCCTCCAGTGTTTTCCAAGCACATCCATCCTTGCTTCCTCTAGCACCTTCCTAATCAGGCTCCGTGCCTTGAACCTGTTCTTTCGATCCATCTTTCATGGTGCAACTGAGGGAAGCTATCACATTGCAAGTCTGAGCTCTTTCTCCAGCCTGAAACCATTCAAAGTCTACTCCTGGCCCTTAGGATCAAGTCTGGACTCACGGCATTCAAGGGTCCCCAGGACCTAGCCTGGCCTGCATCTCCACAGAAGATCCCCAGCCCAGCACACGGAACCCTTGCACTTCTCTGACTGCCTCACCCTCTCTGGGCTTTTTTTGTTGTTGTTGGTTGTTTTTTTTTTTTTTATTTAATGTTCCAGGGTTTTGTGAGGGTACAAACATTGTAGTTACACTTTATGTCTTTGCCTCACCCAAATGCGAGTTAAAGGCATGCCCTTCCCTCCCTTTAGTGCTCCCTGTGTCCTTTAGTTGTAGATTTGCCCCCCATCCCCCTAATCCCTAGAGAGTATTTCTGCCATGTGATCAACCTAGTGTTGATCAGTTAGTACCAGTTTGATGGCGAGTACGAGTGGAGCCCATTCTTCTGCTCTTGTGGTGCCCCACTTTGGATAATGGGCTTAAGTTTAATCCAGGAAAGTATAAGAGGTGCTAGATCACTGTCATTTCTTATGATTGAGTAATATTCCATTGTAAACATATACCAAATTTTGATAATCCACCTGTATTCATGCCACTTTTTCAGGCCTTTCCCACTTCTTTCACTGGCTAACACCTACTCATAATCTGGAACTCTGCCCCGTCCCCTGACTTCTCCTCAGCTCGTCTTCCATTTATAAGGCAAGCTTTCAGGAGCTTCAATAGCTCCCTGTCATTCCTGTATCCTAGCATTTATCACAACATGCTGCTTCATTTAGCAATGAACTCGTGAAGGCTTGTTCAGTTGTTTCTCCAGTGTGTAGGCCAGTTTCTGGCACATAATAGGTACTTTGTAAATATTTGGTGCTTGATCTCATTTGATTTTCTGAGGTCTCTATGAGGAAGGGAGGATTGTTGTTATACTTTCTGTTAGACTGGTAGGTAAACAGAGAATCAGAGCCAGTAAGTGACTTCTTGGATTCACCCAGCAGCAACTGCAGGCCGTGAACTCAGGCCACTGCTTCCTTGTCTAGTGGGTTCTACTAATGAACACACACAGTCTCTGAAGTATTTGTCCTTCAGCCTCCCTTGCCGTAGGAGGGCTGACCCGGGATCCCAGCCCTGAGAACAGCAGATGTGTCAGAGAAAAGATAATGGTTGCTATTTCCCCAGATCCTTGAGAAACCAGATCAGTCGTGGGCCGAGACTCTAAAGAGGCTATGGAAATAGGCCCAGGACAATTATGCAGTTAATTGGATCAATGGAGACAGCCAAGCAGGATCATTCAGTTCCCAAAGTATGTTTTATTGCTGAAGTTATCAGCATTGATCCAATTATTTGGATAATTGCTTCATCTGCGCCATAAACCAGGAAGACTCAGCATGAATCAGCAGCCGGCCAGAGCACCTCGCTCTGAGCTTGCTGCAGACGCTCCCCCAGCTGGTATCGCCCCTGTCTGCAGGGCCACCAGTGGGGGATCAACCAAACTTCTCACCTCAAACTGGGAGACGTATTTCCTCCGTCATTTCCACACTCCTCAAGCCCACTCTGCCTTTGGAGCCTGGGAGTAGTCTTCTCTGCAGGCCTGGTCCCTGTCCTCACAGGCTCTGCCTTCCAAAAAGAATGACCCTCTGCAAGTAGAAAGGAGCATGGGCAAAGTGTTATCTGTATTTCTTTTTTGGATTTCCAAAGCCACGAGTGCAGTAATTATTACACAAATAATAACTCTGCTTATTAGTATTTCACTATGCAAGGCGGCTGTCTGGGTTTGCCCTTCTTTTGTGCACCAAAATCTTCACTGCAACTAACATTTGGAAACCACCCAGATCTGACCAATTCCCTCCTCTGAAGCAGTTTGTCATTGCCCCAGGATGAAATACTAAATCTGCCTTCCTGTGGATCTGTGTGTTACTGCTCCCGTCTGCATCTTTCTCCCATTCTGATCACTCTCCCTCTTGCACTCTTTTCTCCAGCCATGGTGAGTGTCTCTTTGTTTTCTGGAATATGCTACATCCTCTCTAGATCTCTCAGCTTTGGCTCGATAATTTCCCCTACCTAGGTCGCTCTTCTCTGCTGTCCTCATGCTGGTTCTCCACGTCTGCCTGACATTCCTACTGAGCCTTCAAGTTTCAGCCTAGTGGTCACTTCTTCCAGATGTCTTCCACTGTCTCCTAAGTTTGCCCGGGGATTCTCCCGTGAGCACATGGAGCACTCTGCATTTGCCCTGTCATGCCACCCGTTACACTGTGTTGTCAGTGCCTGGGGCCCACGACCACCGTCTGTGACCTCCTTAAGGGCAGGCTGGATGACATGATTATGAGTGAAAACAAACAATAAGCAGAGGAAAATAACACCTACCTTTTTCAACACTCAGTGGCTAAATCAATAATTTTAGAATAAAGGAACAAGAAAATAGAGATACAGCAATACTGACTGCTAATAAGCATTAATAATAAAAATAAATAAATACAAAAAAATTGAGTGCCTACCATATACCAGACAACATGACATTATATAATTTAAACTTCATAGCTATACATTTAGATAATTTATTATACCCATTTTACAGATGAGTAAATTGAGTACATAAGTAAATTACTTAACAAAGGTTAAGTAATTTGCCCAACATCACATGACTACAAAGTATCAACGTCAATTGTGGCTCCAAAGCTCATTCTTTTTCAATTATAATATGCTGATGCCTTAAGGAATAAATGAGAAGACTTGAATTATCTCATTGGAGTAATTAAGCTGAGAGAATGTTTATTGTTTTTGTTATTGAACAAGCCACCTGAGTCCGTTTACTAATTTTGATTCCAAACTTATGGCTTTTCTACATTCAGCAAGTCTTGACAGATCACTGCAGATGCAGAGATCAAAGGCGAGGTCCCTGCGCTCAGAGAGCTCACAGTGCAATTGGAGAAACAACAGCGGGGCAAACAGCCAATCGCAACATAGACCCTTAAGTGTAGATAATGGGGGAAGCGCAAGGGGCGGGGGAGCAGCAATCAGACACTTCAGTGCTCTTGTGGAGCCCGAGTCCTGGCTCAAGACCCATTTGCAGAGCTTCCCTCAGCTCCCCGGGTCCCCAAGGCTCTGCCCCTGTTCACCTTGCTCCTTTCTGCTACAGTACAGACACGCCTACTTGCTCCGGCCAGCTCAGTTCCATGGGGACCCGTGCAACTCCTCTGACAAGGAAGTGGAAGACTGTGTTACCACCAGACCATGCAGAAGTCAAGTGCGATGTGAAGGTTTTGTGTGCCCGCAGACAGGTATAAATCAACCCGGGAGTGGGAGGGGAACTTTGCACATGATGACGGAGGGGTGGGCCATGCCTAGTGCTCAAGGTCAGGGTCATGGGACAGGCCTGGAAGCCTCCTTGTCCCCAAATCTCTGACCTCCTTTTTCATGAAAATAACCCTATCACATAGGTGTTGTTATTATCCCCATTTTACAATTGAAGAAATTGAGACTTGAAGAGGTTACTTGCCTGAGAACATATAGCAGGTGAGTGGAAGAGCTTCACTTCAGTTAGAAATTTGGAAATTCAAATTACATTCATTGACATTAAGGACATCAAAAGTATATATGCCAGAATCAGAAGTCTTAGGTCGGGTCTTATTTTGACTTTGTGACTAGGAGAAGTCACTTAACCCGTCTGCATTTTTGTCCCCTCAACAGAAAATCAGGGGTGATGTCAACACCTTACAAGTCTGTTATAAGAATCAAGTGACATCGTGGATATGCAAGCTCTTTGTAGACTGTTAGCTCTGCTCCCTCTCCGAGAGGCCTGGGACTGAGTACAATGTGGCAAAACCTAAAACAGTTAAACAGAATGGTTAGCATCATTCATCTCTGAGAACTCTTTGGAAAGATAGCCCCTGTCATTTGCATTTCTGCATAACTACATCCACTAACGCATAATACAGTCAATAAAGATTATTGATTATAAGAAGGAGGAAAAGAGAAGTAGAAGGAAAGATGGACAGGTGGACAGAAGGAAGGAAGGAAGGAATACATGAATAAAAAATCACTTGCTGCAGAACTAAATAAATACTCATTTTTCAACTCATGCATTTAGAAAATCTAAGCAAACATATGCCTCTCTATTGCTCCAAGTCTCTGGCAAAAATAAGGGTATTTTGACCCAAATTATCTAGATGGGAGTTGTAACTCTGCAAGTTTACTGTACCCATGTGGCCTGGGCACTGGGATCTTTCAAGAAATATCTAGGGATTCTTAGAGCAATTTCTGGGGCTTATTGCAAATGCAAAATTCCAGCCAATAAATCTGAGAGACTTTTACAGGGTATCCATGGACTCGTTACGGCCGGTGTTCTGTGATTCTGGCCAAAGCCATGCTGTTATTGGGGCAGGCTTTAGCTTAAGTGCCTTGCAAGAAACATTTGAAGACCAGGTTGTTATTTTTCTGCTGTTAACACTACAAGAACATTGGTTAAAAGTGATCAGATACATCTAAGGAAACAGAGTCACCTGTCTTACGGCTGTATCTCCTAGCAATATACAAATAAAAAAGGAAGTCAAGTCAGTGGGGAAAAAGTTAATAGGAAGCAAAAGTGATACAAATAATTTTTCACAGTCCAAATGGTTGTTGAAGACGGTGTGTGTTAGTGGGAAGAATTTGTGATTAGACCGTTAAAGTTTCCAATCCCAATGCAGATATGTACTAGCAATGGGCACTTGGCCCTGAAAACTCTGACGGCATTAGTGACAACACGGACACAGCACTTACTGTGAGTCAGTATCGTTTTACTTATTTAAATTCCCAGCTACCCCAGGGGATAGGTATGCTGACTTTCCTGTTTTACAGATGAGTACATTGAGGCAGGGAGGTTAGGTAACACATGAAAGGTGGTACCGCTAGTGACTGCTTGCAGGACCTACCAAACCCACCTCCTCTCTCCAGCCCCAGAGAGAGTCCAGTCTGCCCTCCTGTCTGGCCACATGCCCCTGCCTCTCAGGCACTTTGCCTATTCCCACCCTTACAGAATGACTCTCAATAATCCCCTCCAAGTGCTGTCAGGAATACACCACTGGCCTTTTTTGATGGTGGTGGTGGGGGGTGGTAATAGGGAAATGAACTGCTGGTGCCATAACCAATCTGCCCTGACACATGGTCACTAATTAAAACAGAGCATGGAAGGCCCAGGAAAACATCTGGCGCCAAGTAGGTGCCCATACTGCGTTAACTCCTCTCCTGACAGCCGTGTGGCCATGTGTAACATCCTCTCTCTGTCCCAGGGAGGTGTATAAACCGCAGACTTCTCTGCAATGGGGACAATGACTGCGGAGACCAGTCGGACGAGGCAAACTGTAGAAGGATTTATAAAAAGTGCCAGCATGCAATGGACCAATACTGGGCAATCGGCAGTCTGGCCAGTGGGTAAGTTATTGTCTTTCTGTCATGTAGACGAGAAGGCACAGAATGAAATGGAATTCTGGAGACTAGAGAGGGAGAGAGCTGATGTGAACAGAGTTCCTCTCTTTCCTTTCTGAAAAAAGACTGTAGTGAAAGAGGACGCTTCTGGCTGCTCTCTGAGGACAGTTCCAAGCTGCTCCAGGAGCACGTCCCCTGGACAGACCTGGCAGCAGAAGGGCTAGTTCAGGAACACTGGGCCAGAGCTGTGCATGGACACCACGTGGGCTGCGACACAAGGGCTGGAAATGAACCTTTATTTTCAAACCTGCAATGTGACTGTGTTAGGTGCTTCCTAAGTGTTTTCTCCTGAATTCTATTGGCAACCTGAAAGGTAGGTTTTATCGATTCCTGTATCCCTAGGTCCCAGCTTTGGGCCTGGCTGAGAGGAGAGGCTTCTAACAGTCAGTGAAGGAATGGATTCTGCAACGCGAACACAATCAGTCTGTGTTTCAAGCTTCTGGGGATCTCTGAGTTGGTCTGGTCCTCTGGCGAGCTCAGAGGAGCAAGGACAGGGGACAGGGCCACCCTGGCCTGGCATTTGCCTACTTTCTCATCACATTTTGCAGCTTCCCAGGTGGAAGAGCGAGACCTTCCCCTCACATGCAGTAAGAGTCCATGTATATGTTGCAGCCTGGGAGCGGGAGGGTGACCCTGACTGGAATCACCTTCTTCCTAAGCAAACATCACATCTCAATCCCTAACGGCTGTCAGAAGAGAGAGACTCCTCACGTAGGGGTGGAGGCTTCTCTCAGGACCACTTATAAGCAAGTTATTAGATAAGGAAACTGAGACCCAGAAAGTTGAGTTCCAGGTGTCACACAGCTGGAAGGTAGAGCAGACGTTCACGGCCAGCAGCACACCCCCTAGGAGGGACAGAAGGAACAGTTCACTGGCCACAGGACCTCTGAGGAGGCACTTATCTATGTGGGACTTGAGTTTGGTCATCTGCGGAAGGAAGTTAATGATGCCCTTCTTTCAAAGTTCCGTGAGGATCCAATAAGCTAATGTGACTGTAATTAACTGAGAGGCAGCTTGTGTGGGGAAGAATACAGACTCTGTCCTTGAACCAAACCACTGGACTTTGACTCCCAGCCCAACCAGTTGCTGTGGGTGGGATGACCTTGGGCTAGTCAATTACCCTCACTTTCCTCATCTGTAAAATTGGGACAATAATAATACCTACATCATAAGGATTGGATTCGATGAGCCAACACATGTAAATTGATGAGGATGGTTCTTTTGCAAAGTAAGCACCATGTTGTGTTTGTTAAATAAAATAAATAATTATACATTATCATGATGCATGGAAATCTGTCATGGGAAAAAGACCTCAAACAATTCTGGTGAGGAAGAGAACCAAGGCCAGTGGGGGGAAGCTGTTAGGAGACAGAGCTCCTTTCAATAGAAAAAGGGCTTTCCGTGGGCGGAGATGGGCAAGGAAGGCTCCCCCTGGGAGGCGTGAGAATGGTGTCTAAGTGGAGGCTAGACTGCTTCCTCTCTAAAATGGAGATCATAACACGGTTGCCCAGGGATGCAGGACACTCAATGAGATGCTGCGCGGAGCCACCCACTGCTATGTCTGTCACCAGTTAAACCTCAGTAAATAGTAGTTATTCTGAATGTCTATCATGATAGGGATCTTACAGAAATTACGAAAGTCACCACCCTGAAAGAACTCACAGTCTAGTGGGGGTGACAGATACACAAAAAGCAAACCTTGGCCACGGACCAGGTGGTGTTTTAAGCACTTAATAAATATTGACACATGTGATCCTCACGACATCCCCAGGAGGTAGTGTTTTCATTGTCTCCATTTTACACAGGATGGGACTGAGGCACAGAGAGGTTAACTGGTTTGCCCAAGGTCACCTAGCTAGTAAGTGGCAGAACAGGGATTTGATCTCACTTGGCTCGCTCCAGAGTCCATGTTCTTATCTAGTCTACAAGCCCACTCTCGTAAGGAAGCCGTGGTGGTGCAGAATAATAAACCCATGATGCAGCAAGCTCAGGGTGTTGTGAGTGCCTCTCACCCAGCTCGGTGGGGGGCTCAGGCATGACAGGTGTTGGTGACGCCTTCTTGCTGTAGGTGACAATAGAGCTCAATCTTGACAGACAAGTAGGAGATAAAACAGTGAATGACTGGAAGGGCATTCTGGGCCCAGGGAACAACACTTACTGTGGAAGGAACAGAGCAGACTGGAGCAACAGCCAGCCTCTCCACATGGCTGGGGACCAGGGCATGCTGTCATGGTCAGGAGTGGCCAGACACAAAGGTAGAAAAGCTGGTTTGGACCAGATAGTGAAGGCCTTGAATGCTGTGCCAAGGAATTTTTGGTTTCATTCAGTCAAGTTGGCCAAGCAAGGTCACACAACCCCAAACCCTAACCTCTTCACCATCTCTGTCCCTCCCTTACAGGATAAATTTGTTCACCAACAGTTTGGAGGGCCCGGTTCTCGATCACAGGTATTATGCTGGTGGATGCTCCCCGCATTTCATCCTGAACACAAGGTTTAGGAAGCCATACAATGTGGAAAGCTACATGCCACAGGTAAGTGACAGCCAGGCAGCGGTGGAGGGAGCACTAAAGGAGGACCCAGCTGCCACGGATCCAAGGCCCGAGGACACACTGCTAGCTGCGCGACCTTGGCCGCATCCCTTTGCCTCTCTGAGCTTCAGTTTCTTCCTATGTAAAATGGGCTGTTCCTTCCTCAAGACACTGTGGCGTGGCTGCCATGTGTGCAGTCACAGTAGCGGTGTGGTAGTAGCAGTAATAGTAGCAGCAATCATACCAAAAGCTACCTGGAAGAGGGAAGTAAAGCTTAAGATTTGGAGTCACACAGACTTGGTGGCTCTGCTGCTTACCATCTGTGTACCCCTAAATGCTCTGAGCCTCTGTTTTCCTATCTTTAAGTTGGGAGTTATGAGGTCCTACCCTGCAAGGAGGGGATTAGTGAGATAATATGTGTGTTTAGCACAGCACCTGGGTTAATGGTGAGTCCTCAGGAAATGTTAACTCTTGCTGTTGCTCCTGTTATCATTGTGACCAGGTCCTTGCCTGTTAGAAGCAGGCGTTGTTCCAAGCATCCCAGGTTAGAAAATGCTTTACCAATGGAAGCCTCTGTTATGATTAATGTACAGACTTAGAAGTACATGTCACAGGGAGTGGGATTTAGAACAGACTGCAGGGCACACACTTGGGACCTGATGGGACCACAGGCCTGGCTCTACCACAGGCCCCAGTTTTACCTGAGGCTAAGTCCCTTTTCCACTCTGGCCTCAGTTTCCTCATCTGTAAAATGAGGGGGCTGGACTAGAGGACCTTGATGGTAATTTCCACTTCCAGATTAGACTACGCTGCTACCTTCCTCCTCCTCCCACCTCCCTGATTCCCCCCCGCCCTACACTTACTGCCAAGAAAGAAAAAAATTAGCCTAGGGACACACATGCCTCTGTCTGGGTGCCAGGGTTATCCTCAAAGCCTCTACTTTCGATGGCGGGTCTCAGGGCAGCCACTTATCTCCAGGCTGATGCAGATCCGAACCCGGCAGGACCAGCATAAATAAAGTCTCCGCGGTCCACAGCCAGCACTCTTTGAGGCTGCGCCCGGCATCGAGCTATGCCTCGCCTGTGCAGGCTCAGTCCTCACGTCAAGCCTGATGGAGGGACAATTTTCTCTCCATTTCACACATGAAGAAACTGAGGCATAGAGAGGTCAAGTCAGTTGTCTGAAGTCATCCAGCCAGTCAAGGACAGTGACCGGAGCATCTCAGTAGCCTTCCTGCAGACCACACCATGTCACCAATCACTTCTGCTTCCTCCCACCCCCCCACCCCCTGCAGCAGCCAAGTGTTGTGCCCCCTTCTAGGAACTGCAAGATGATGGGAGGGGAGACGGAGGTGACTCAGGATTGGCCACTCCAGGGCCACTCCAGGGCCCCCAAGGCAGTTCCCCCATGTACAGGATGAGGAACACTGATTTTGGAGCAAATGGCTCCCTAAGTTCTCTCCAAGGCACTTTCCTGCCCTTGTCACTTCATTCCCGCCACTGCCATAGACCAGACCCTCATCAACCATCACCTGAATTCCTCACACAGCCTCTGCACTGGCTGGTCTCTCTGACTCCAAATGTGTCCCTTCCAGTCCAACTACCATGCTGTCCCAAATGATCTTCCTGAGGCTCAGCCTCTTCTTCTGCTGGCTTATCTTCGGATTAAGCCCCAGATTTCAGAGCAACTAATTCAAAAGCCAGCACAGCCCCAAGATTTTGATGCCAGCACAGCATCTGACAACACCTCACCTCTCCCCTCACTCTTGCATCTTCTGATTCACCACACATTCGAGTCCTTGCAGTTCCTGGAACACTTCCTATCCTTCCCACCTCCATGCCTTGGCTTAAGCTGAGCCCACAGCCCAGAATGTCCTCTTGCATTTCTGCCAGTTGAAATCCAAATCAAGCACCAACCTCTGGGCTTCAACCCACACTGTCAAATAGGTCTGTCTCTCCTCCTGAATCAGGAGCTCTGAGGGTGGGAACACAAATCGGCCCCAATTTTTCTGTATCCAGAACATCTAGTCCAGTATCCAGCACATAGTAAGAGTAGGGTGGATTTGAGTCAAATGGAATAAAAACATTTTCTTTTTTCTTTCTTTAGACCCAAGGCAAATATGAATTTGCACTGGCAGAATATGAATCGTACTCAGATTTTGAGCACAACGTCATAACGAAAGCAACTGGAAAGTCTAGTTTCAGTCTGGGTTTTAAAATAACTGGAAAATTTGAACTTGGCATTAATAGCCAAAGTGACCGAGGCAAACATTATATCAGCCGAACCAAACGATTCTCTCATACTGTAAGTACCCTTTCGTTGCTTCTAAACTTACATGTTGCCTTAGTCCATTTTATATTACTATAACAGAGTACCACTGACCAGATCATTTATAAAGAAAAGAGATTTATTTGGCTCACAGTTCTTGAGGCTGGGAAGTCCAAGATCAAGGGGCCGCATCTGGCGAGTGCCTTCTTGCTTCATCATAACATGGTGGAAGACATGGCGTGGCAAGGAAGCACATACTTGAGACAAAGAGAAAAAGGGAGCTGAACTTAATCCTTTTATCAGGAACTCACTCCTTAGATGATAGCATTCGTCCTTTCATAAGCACAGAACCCTGACGACCTAATCATCCCTTAAAGGTCCTACCTCTCAACACCGTTACAATGGCAATTAAATTTCAATGTGAGTTTTGAAGGGGCCATTCAAACCATAGCATATGGATTGTTTTGAAATTTCATGCCCACAGACGTGTCTTTATTCCACATTACTGCTAGTCCTAACAACCTATTATATTTCTGTTGTCTTCAAAATCTTTTCACAAAAAATAGCTTAGTCTTATGCCAACTTATTTTTTGAAGAGGTGGAGCAGAGAGGGCCTTCTATAACTGTATTAATATTTTCTCTCATTTTCTAATAAGCTTTTCCTTTGTTTTTCAATGAGCTTAAGATGTAGCTTTGCTGGACCAAAACACCTCTGGAGACCTTTCAGCCATAGCAATTTGACTTCTGTCCTGGTCATCCAGCTGAAATTCCTCTCTGGAAGGTCACCCAAGATCTCTTCCCTGACTTCTTCGGGCATTGGGTGGAGTTGACCAAATCATCACTCTCCTGTTTCTCCTGCTTTCTTTCTGCTTCTTCTCACCTTCCTTCCTGGGTTTCATAGACCCACCTGTTCTTTATTTATTTGTGGCTGCTTCCCTTTGTACTCTACAGCGCCCCCAGCCCTGTGCCCTCTTCTACTCACCTCCATTACAGGCACAAGCTAAGAGCCTTCCCCACTGCCTCTAACCCTTCCATTGAGCTCCAGCCCTGCCCCATCCTGCCCACTCTTCCTAGCATCTTCACCTGGATGCCTTGCTGACACTCCAGAGCAGTTTCTTCCTCCTAAATGTTCAATCCACATCAATGGCATTTTTTCCATTCTACTTTCCCAGGCTAAGAACTGCAGAATCAGATCTGGCTCTCACCTTCGCTTCATTTCCACATCTGTTGGTCAACAAATCCTCCAGCATTACTCTCCAGTATTTTGTCATTCTAACTCCTATCATACCTTGATTAGCCCAGACCCTTTCATCTCTTGTTCTGCTCTACTAAATGGTCTCCGTCTCCCAACTTTCCCTTTCACATGCATGTGCTGCCAGAGAAACGTTTCTATAATACTAATCCCATCAGATCATCTGCTTCCTGTTGCCCAGAAGGTAAAGGGCAAAGCCTGTGATTCGGTGGAAGAGGAGTAATTAGGGTGGGAAGAAACAAAACATGAAATTAGAGAGGCAGGTGTCAGGTAGATTTGAGGAACCTTAAGTTCCAGGGTGAGGAAGGTACATTTTATTCTCTAGCCACTGAGAGTTTTCAACAGGGGCGTGATGTGAATTAATCAGGAGGGAATATGGGAAAGATCAAGTCTGAAAGTCTACAATGATTCACAGAGAATAAAAGAAATGGTGAAGGACTCAGAAACGTCTCTGCTGCCGAAATATTAACCAGCAGCAAATGGGCAGCAAACATTAATTAGACTGTTACTATCTTTGCCTATCTTTCCTCATCTTCCAGCTGTGCACTTCTTGGGTGCAGAAACTGTTTCTTCCATCTTTAGACTCAGAATGGCACTTAGTAGGTGCTCAAGAATGAACTGTAGCGGCGAAGCATAGGACTGACTCAAAGAAACTTACCTTGGTAGGAGGGAAAACAAAAGGTGCTATCTGTTCACTCCTTTCTACCTCCTTCTCTCCCTCCTTCCCTGCCACCTCCCTGATTCAAATGGGCAGTTATGGGATGTTAACAATGTGCTAAGTACTGCCCTAGAGACTGAGGACCGAAATGTTCACAGTCCAGTGGGAGAGGCAAACATGTAGGCAGATACACTATTCTGAATTCTTTATATCAGTTGTAATGCAGCATGACATATGCTAGGAAGGAAACATAAGCAAGTGAGATGCAATCCTAGAAAGGGGAGTGTGCGTGCGTGCTTGGGACACTCAGGAAAGGTATTAAATAAGAGGCAACGGCTAAGTGGGGATTTAAAAGATACATAGGCATGTGCCAGGCAGAAAAGGTGGAAAGAACATTTCAGGGAGAAGCAGCAGCAGGTGCAAAATTACACCGTGAAAGAGAATGGCAGTTTGGAGAACAGAGAAAAGTTGATGAATGCTGATGGATAGCGTGGTTGGTGGAAAATAGTAATGTACAGAGAGAAAAACTTCAAGGTTGTAGAAGTTGAAGCCAGAGCAACTGGGGGACAGGTTGAGATGGTCTTATGTTCAAAGTAAGGGAGCTGATTTTCTTCTGGAGGCAACAGCGAGCAATGCAGGATTTTGTGTTAAGTGCGGAGAAGTATTATCATGATACTGTCAGAGTGTTAGGGCATCGACTGATGGGGGTGTAGAAGGCAGGCTGGAGAAAGAAGGGAGGTCGGGGACAAACTTTTATAATAACCCAAGCAAGAAGAGATGCAATATTTGGAAAAATAATAATGAACAGAGTACTTAGTGACTGCTTAGGTAGGAAGGGTAAGCGGGGAGGAAGAGGGTCAGGGGACACTGGGCAGGACTAGAATGGGATGAGAGCAGCCAGGACACAAAGCGAGGGGCCCGGGTGGTGGGCACCAGCAGAGCTGGCATGGCTTTATAGAGCCGAAGGATTTAGGATTGGGGCAGAGTGCACCTCACCGATGTTTCCCACCTTCCCCTTCTCCTCTGCCTACACCACAGTACAGGAAGCTCTCACCTCGGGTTGCAGTAATGCCTCCTAGATGCTTATACTTCATCTGGCATTGCCAACTTTCAGTTTATCCCATACATTGGGGGTCACTAAACTTTTTCTGCAGAGGGCCAGATTGTAAATATTTTAGGATTTGTGGGACTGCAGGGCCTCATTTGTAACTACTCAACTCTGCCATTGTGGTGAGACGGCAGCTGCAGACAATACGTGAACAAATGGACGAGGCCGCATTCCAATAATACTGTCTTTACAAGAGCAGACACCGGGTTTAGTGCATAAGCTGCAGTTTACTGACTCCCGCACATGATGCCATAACTGGCCTTCCCAGAGCACCACTTTTACTCTTTCTCGAATGGCTTTTCTTCCCAGAGTTTACAAGACATAAGAAAAGTGGGTGCCTTTGTAGGTTAGCAAAGCCTGTGTCCCATCAGAGTGGCCCCGTGTGCCCCAGCTGCTCCCTGCTTTGCCTGCTTCCGTTACCCTTCACTGTCCTTATTCGCTACAGTAAGGAGGAGAAAGAAGAGCAAGCTCTTCCAAGCTGAAAAGGACGTCGGAATATTTATGAGAATTGAAAGCTTGTCAAAGAGCCTGTCTTCCCTCAAGTATCCTAAAGGAATCATAAGAGTGATGACCCCAGGCCAAGAACATTGGATGGTATTTGTAAAGTTCATCTTCTCGTTCCAGATTCCTAACTTTAAAGGTCTGCTTTTCCCATGTTGCTCTTTCATTTAGAGAAGCGCATTTCTGCACGCGCGCTCTGACCTTGAAGTAGCACATTACAAGCTGAAACCCAGAAGCCTCATGCTCCATTACGAATTCCTTCAGAGAGTCAAGCGGCTGCCCCTGGAGTACAGCTACGGGGAGTACAGAGATCTCTTCCGCGATTTCGGGACCCACTACATCACCGAGGCCGTGCTCGGGGGCATTTATGAATACACGCTCATTATGAACAAAGAGGCCATGGAGAGAGCAGGTACACTGCCCAGGGGACCACGGCTCTCCTGGCGGGGCACACGGGAACAATGAGTTGATGGGGAAAAGCTGCTATCCGTCGTTGGGGGAAGAGTCATAAATTGTACTGTACTTTTCTAGCTCCTTGGCTATACCTTCACAGTCTCAACTGCAGCTTCCTCTTCCTCCTCTTTTTAACTTGTTAATGTCAGTCCTCCTCAGCCTTTAAATGCAGATTACTCCTAATTCATATATTCATCCTGGATCTCTTCCCTGCCCCTAATAGCTTATATTGAAATGCCTTCTTGATATCTCCATTTGCATATGTAACAACCATCATGAACTTTAACATGCCCCAGAGGACTTTTGATTTGCTTTTCCCCAATATAGTTCTTCCATAGTCATCTCTATCTAAGAAATGGTTCCACCATCCAACCAGTGGCAGAAGCCAAACACCTAGGAGTCAACCTCATTATTTTTCTTCCCTTCCAGTCTATTCGTAAGTCCCATCAACTCTATCTCCAAATTATATTTTCTATTTTTACTATTACCACTGTAAGCTCACCCCACGACCACAGCTCCATATTCAAAATTTAATGTCAATGTGAATTAGGTATCAGTCTTGGAAGAGGCAGGTTCTGATCTGATAGGTTTGGGGTGAGACCCAAGAGTCTGCATTTCTCACAAGCTTTGAGTTGATGCTGCTGCCGCTGGCCCATAGACCACACTGAAGTAGCAAGGTCCCTGATTATCCCCTTAGTCTCCAAATTAATATTCAACCCCCATACCTCCCCTCTATAATCCATTCTCCATACAGATATCCCAGAGCTTGCTAACTGTAGTCAACCACAAGCCTAAGGCGTGAGTTCTGCTTTCCAATCCAGTATTCTTTCATACAACATGACACTTGTGTTAAGTGAACTTCTCTCTGTCACACAGAACTTCTCTGGATCACACAGTGGCAGAGCCAGGACTTGGTTAAAAGTTCAATGTACTTGCAAGAGGATACATGCTATATGGTATAAATTTATGTCAGTATGGTTTTAGTCTTGCCAAGACGAGGGTGACCTTCCTTCGTAACAGTGGTTTCAAAAGTGCCTCTAATACTTTCAAATTATGTCCTACAAAAGGGCTCTATAATCAAATAAGTCAGGAAAACACATAATAGATTCCACTTTTAGAGTTTCATGAATGTACTGTAGTAAACTGACCTCTCCACCTCTTTTGATGCAATATTTGTCATGTGTAATTAACCATGGAAGCTCTTTTCTTGTAATACCTGCTGCTATCTCATGGGATTCATGTTTTAAGAAATATGCTTTTGGAAAAACCAACCTACAGAAACATTGTTGGACCACACTAGTGGCCAAAGCTGTTCTTCTCTCCCTACACTGGCCTCAAAGTGCTACAGAAAGGTGCTTACAAGTCGTATCTGAGATTTCAGAAAGATCAGGGGAGCAGGATGCCTCGGGGAGAGTTAGGGAGGAACCAGTGGAAAATAGTCCAAAAGGGAAGATAAAATAAGAGAAATTGGCTCATCCTCTTTGCCAGGTACTATACCAGATGTTTTATATGCATCACCTCAATTAACTAATTAAAAGCTTTTCTACTTTATCAAAGATTGGAGAAGGGTGGGTCAATGGAGGGTGGGCAGATTGCAGGAGGCTCTGTACTTACTGGACCTATCCCTAGAAACTTGATAAGGAGTCACATTTTTGGAAAATGACTCTGAGCACTTCCCCTCTTTGGAGGGCAGCAAAAGTCCTCAGAGAATATTGGGAGGAGCCTGAAAGGGGAAGTAGAGTCTGAGCTCTAGGAGTCTATGCCCCAGTGCCAGTGGCTGCCTGCCTTTCTGGTCATCAGGCTGGTGACCCATTAATTTGAACCTGAGTCCCTGTGACACCCAGAAAGGGCCAGGCCTCCGGAGTCAATCAGAGGGAAAGGGAGAGCACATTGCCTCTCAGGTCATAAACCTCTTTCCTTGCTTTCTCCAGATTATTCTCTTAGCAACGTCCATGCTTGTGCCAAAAACGATTTTAAAATTGGTGCTGCCATTAAACAGGTCTACGTCAGTCTGGGGGTGTCGGAAAGCAAGTGCAGGGGTATTCTCAATGAAATCAAAGGTGAGTGACGGGGGGCTCGCGATTTCTGTGCTTATATAATCTTTTCCTCCCTAGCGCTTCTGGTCTCAGGCTTTCTTTAAGCTAAAGACTCCATATTCCAAGGCATTAATATTTCAATTAAAATAATAATTCTTCCAATAAAAATTTCCCAAGCTCCTATTATGTGTTAAGTATGCAAAAATGAATAGAATTGAATTCCAATCCTCATAGTGCTCACATGAGGTAGGCAAACAATTAAAGAGGCGATGACAAGGCCGTATGATGTTCCAGTCTAGAACATCAGGGCAGGCTTCCTAGGAGAGGGAATATGTGAACTGCAACTTGAGGAGTAAAGTATAGGGGTGGGTTTTTAGGCAGGAAAAAATATCTAAGTGTGTAAATCGGCTCTAGGGCCTGGGAGTTGGCCTGGCTAGAGGCCGGATGATGGAGTGGGCGGTAGGTGGAGGAGGCTAGTCCTTGCCTGAGATAACGGGTGACATGAAGACTAGAAGAGCAGGCAAAGCTGCAAATCCTGTAGCAGCGTCCAAATGGCAGGAAAGAACAGACATGAGCTGAATATTGAAGCCAGGTGTTTGGGAGCAGGAAATTTGGAAGCAATACAAGTGCAATAGGCAAGAGGCTGAGCAGCAGGACTTCGATCCCTAACCCCTTCTGCACCCAAGCAGCTCTGCCTTTACCTGCTGTGCTTACTAAGCATATGCCAGGAATCATATGTGAAGGAAAAACTCCATAGCAGACACAAAACAAAATAAAACAACAACCACAAAAATTACCCGCTAGTCTAGCACAATCTCTTGCGCTTGTGACTGGCCTGTTGATGTTGTGGTTTATACGTCTGTTTTGGTGGGGCTGGGATGAAAGACACATTATACATTGGGAGGCACATGTAAACCACAGGTGCTCCTTAAAGAAGACTTGTGAAGTAACCCCCATTCAGGTCACTAAATAGAACATGGCCCAGCACCCTAGAAACCCTAGCTGATTCCAATGCCTCCCTCCCTTTTTGAGATAACCACTATCCCAACTTCTATGCTAAATATGTCCTTCGTTTCTTTATAGTTTTACCACCTATATGCATTGCTAGCCAATATGGCTTAATGCTGCTTGTTTTTGAACTTTATCTGGATGGAATGAAATCTTTCCATTCCTATATTTTTCATTCAACATCATGTCTTTATGTGTAACTATAATTAGTTCATTCTGTTGCTGCATACTATTCTGTTGTGTGAACATGCCACTTTTTTTTTCTAGTCCATTCTGCTGTTGACGCACATTCGGGTTATTTCTTCTTTCAAGCAATTATGATCAGTGCTGTCACGAATGTATTACATAGTCATCTGGTGTACATGTACAAGTGTTTTTCCTGGGAATACACATAGGACTGGAATTGCTGGCTTGTAGAGGGTGACTTTTTCTACTTGACTAGATCGTGCCGTGCTCTTTTCTAAAATGGTTGTACCAATTTATACTCCTACCGGCACTATACGAGACTCCCGTTTTTTATGATGCTCAAGTGTTGCAGGCTCAGAAATGAGGATCCATTTTACACCAGTTCTTTTGACACTGGGGACACAGACACATTAGAATGGGAGTGAGTCACTGGTATGATTGAGAGCTTTCTGAGCAACTTTATGAGAAGCTGAAATAATAATCACTTCATAGTAGCCACTGTTCAGTGAGCATCTATCACATGCTGAGCACAGTTCTTCCAGATTGTCCTGTGTTTGTCATTTCACACAAAGAAGTGATACAATTTAGAGCCTGGGCAGGCCCGTCTGGGTAAGTACCTTCGCCTCTCCCAGATGTCTTAGCCACAAAGTGGAATTATACAGTTTCTATTTGATAGTGAATATTAAATGGTTCATACATGTACAACACTTAGATTAGTGACAGATGCGTAGATGATCAATAATCATTAGCTGTTATAGTGCCATTTATTCTTTATGTGGATGTAAAGGATGCATTTTATAGAAGAGGAAAAGATAAATCTTATCCTATGTAAATGATTTGTCCAAGACAGCAAGGCCAGATGAGTCGGAGCTGGATTCATGCCTGGTTAGGGTGTGCAGGGCGATGGATGAGAGGATGAACTCAGTTTCTGTCATATGAACTTCGCCATGCTATACCCGCAGGAACAAGTTTGGTGAGAGGAAAGTTATTTGACCAAGGAGCAGTGACTCTGAAGATGAGCAGATCTTATTTAAAATTGAGCTCCATCGGTCACTAGCTGTGTGGGCCTGGAACAGTGACTTAACAATTCCAGATATGAGTTTCATCATTTGTGAGGTTAGAGCTAATGATGCCTGGCTCATAATATAGTTGTCAGGTAAAAGAAAATATTAAAACCTATCTACCTATTTACCAGTCTATTATCTATCTGCCTATGTACCTTTCCATCATCTATCTATCTACCTACTTACTTTCCTACCTGTTTACCTATTTACCTATCTGTTATCTGTTTATATATCTCTCTAATTAATCTATCATCTCTCTATCTTCTGTAAACTCATCCAGTGACTGGCACTTTATAGATGCTCAAGGTAAATGTCCCGTTATTGTCCTGCCCTCAACTTGTGTTATATATGGTTGGGTGAGCTCCCCTTTTGCCCCAGGTACCATGACTGCCCACTTTTCCACCCATGCCTCCCAGGCAAGCTCAGTGAAAATTATGGTAACCAAATTGTCGGTTGGGTTGTAGCAAATTCCAGGGTGTAAAAGTGGATCGTCTGATGACATGCCGGCTCTCCATGTCCATCCCAGACAGAAACAAGAGGAGCACCATGGTGGAGGACTTTGTAGTCCTCGTACGAGGAGGGGCAAGTGAGCACATCACCGCCCTGGCATACAAGGAGCTGCCAACCGCAGAACTGATGCAGGAGTGGGGAGACGCAGTGCAGTACAACCCGGCCATCGTCAAGGTTAAGGTATACAAAGCTTCTCTACCCATCCCTTCCTCTACTCAGAAAATAGTTTCTGAGGGCCTAATGTGAGTCAGGGCGCAGAATTCAGCAATCAGTATGATGCAGGCCCTCACCTTGAGGCATATACACTACAGCAGAAAATATATCTGGAATAAGCAGTTATAACACACTGCTCAGCACCACCTACAGAGCCCTGATTCTCTCTCATGGAGACCCAAGTTGCTAAAGGAAATTAATGATCAGCTTCTAATTTTAGCCTTCTTAGATTAATATTCTTTCCATTTCATCAGAGAATCACTCATTCCATTATTTATTCATTTAAACATTCATGCATTCAACCAACAAATAGTTACTAAGTTTCTGCTATATTATAGGAAATAAGGTAAGAGGAGAACAGAGGAAGATGCAAGGATGAAAAAATGCAGTCCAGGATGAACAGTAAGATACGCACATGCATAACTATCTCACAGGACAGGATAAGACACCATGACAATTGCTAACATGTCTTAAGCACCTACTGTATTCATGACCATCTGCCATGGGCTTCAGAAACGTTATTTCATCTAATCTTCACAACAGTCTGCAAATTAAGTATTCTTATCTCCATATTGTGACTGATAAAAATCAAGAGACAGAGAGGTTGGATCTATCTGTGGCTGCTCAAGATTCTCTATTAGGTCCAGACAGAAGACTTTGTCTTCTTCTCTCCCCTCTAGACTTCCCTGTAGGTTTGGTGAATAGAAAATAATGATCCCTAACCACCTGTCACCCAAACAAGAGGTGTTTTACAATGTTAAACTAAAAAGACATTTGTTAGAACAGGACTGTCATACACATCAGCAAAGGTAGGTCCTTGCCTGTGGGGACTTCTGCGCGGTACCCAGAGCATGTCTTACACCATCCTCTTCTTGCCAGTGTCTGTGCAGTCATTGATGGGCCAGTGTCCATCCCCCAGAGACTCAACCAAGGTGGGAGGTGGATGTGCTGGAGCTCTGATGAGAGACTCTGTAATCCCCAGCCCTGGCAATTTCCCAGTGTCTTTGTGTGTCAAATGCATAGTTTCTGCAAAACAAGAAAGCTGCCATTCAAACCCTCTCCTCTGCACTTACTCAGCAGTGACACTTAGGGTACAGTTGCTGGCAAGCACGAGAGGGATAAAATCAGCCAAGTTGCAGGCAAGTTCCAGAGAAATCTGGGATCGGCTGATGCCATGGTGACACTGGTCAGCATCACAGATGGTCATGGGAAAGGACAGAGAGCTCAGGGGAAAATATATCTCTGGTCTTTACTGAGATATCTTACCTGAATATTTTTTAAAAACTGAGAACCAGCAGAATACCTTGGTACTCAGGGAGGTTGATGTGCCTGCCTGGGCACTGGAAGCATCAAGTGCCAAGCAGGTGATGTGCTGTGAGATGTGCTAGAGAATCAGAGATGTTCTCAGGAAGGTTGTGGCAGAGGCAAGAGTGGTAAAGGTGGTTACATACTTCTTACCTCCCTACCCTGAGTTGGAAAGATACACTCTGGGCGTCCCACTCTAAAGTGCACTCTTTTCTGGCAAGAGAAGACTGCAGATGGCTTTGCATTATGTCAGAATCATTCTTCTCTGCAAAGCCAACTTACCAGGTAGCCGGAGTGGTGACTGACTTCAGGACAGCAGAGCTCACTAGAGGAGCAATTCCTAGATGCACAAGTTTCAGCCAAGGCTCGATTACATAAACCAGTCTTCAAGATCAAGATCTGAGAAATGATTGCTATAGAAGCCAGGTAGCAAAGCAGGGCAGGAGAAGACCACAGAGGAACCCATTCGCAATGTCTAGTGGTAAATTTTAGACATAGAGAGGTGGTTCTTTGTTCCAAGAAGACTTAGGAGACAGCAATGGGCATATAAAGAGATTTTTAAACATAAAAGGTTGAAATTACATTCAAGATGTAGAAAACGAGTATATGTCTGAAAAATAGAAAAGTAGAAGTAAATTTTAGAATGTATTTAGTTTGTGATTATAATGAACTGAAAGAAAAGGAGGACTTTATGAAATAAAAAAATAGAAGCTGAGGTGTTTAGACACTAATGAGACAAAAAGGGAAGTGGCTGAATATAGGAAACCAAAAGCACAATGGCAGAATCAAAAACTACGTTGGAAACTATAAAGAACAGAATTGACACTGCAGAAAATTGAGTCAGTGATGTGGAAGGGGCTATAAAAATGTTCCTATAATGCAGAAGCAAAAGACGAAGAGATTAAAACAATGACGGGAAAGAGGTATGATGGACAGAGAGTACAGAAGTAGAAATTCACAACGCAGAGACTTCCTCTCACGAAAGGAAAGATTAAACGTGAAGACACATTAATCAAGCACATAATAAGAGCAATGTCCCTGAGCTGATGATGCAAAATGAACAGCTCATTGAAAACTAGGCAAAAGTGCTGAAAACAAAACAATACTGAAACATATCCTGGGGAAATGTTTTACTTTTAGTAACAAATATATCCTATAGGAGTAAAAGTCAAACCAGTCTTAGAATTCTTTGCAACGTGAAATGCTTGAAGATAATGGAGCAACAACTGTGAGGTCTTGAAGGAAAAACTTGTGGCCCAGTGAAATGGTCATTAATGAGTAAAGAATGTCAAAGACATTTTGAAAAATTACAGGAATCACAAAAAAGCATTGCCAGATTTAGCAAATGAAAATACAGGAAGTCCAGTTAAATTTGAATTTCACATACATAAGGAATTTTTTTTAATGTAAGCATCTCCCAAATATTGCATGGAACATATTTATACTAAAAATTATTTGTTGTTTATCTGATATTAAAATATAATAGATGAGTGTCCTATTTTTAACTGGTAATCCTTGTCACAAATTCTATCATCTGTGTACGTTTCTACACTGGTCAGAGCAGCTAGGTTGTGATCTGGGACCCACGCTGATGGGGAAGCTGTTGTATTAATATGAATAATAGGCACTGCCCAGTAGAAGGGAAAAAATAAGGTAGTGAATGATGCTCACACAGAGGTCAGGCTTCAGAGAAACAAGCCCCCAATTTCAGTGGCTTAGTAAAAGAAAAGTTTCTCAATCACATAACAGATCCAAAGTGTGTTGGTGAGGAGGCTTTTTGTTCCATGTGGTGACCCAGGGATCCAGGTGATAGGGGCTTTATCTTGTCATATGCTCCCAAGATCACCACAGCAGTGATAAAAGAGTGGGACAAGCCATCTCGCTCCGCTTTGGAATCTTCAACCTGGAAGTGACACTCTCTTCTGCTTAACTTTTCACTATTTACAACAAGTCACCTTGCAAACCTGCCTTCAAGGAGGGCAGGAATTATAGCCCTACCAAGTGCTACAGAAGGAAAAGAAGCTGAAATATTTGGTAAGCAGTGATAATGACAATCACACTTTTCCAAAAGCAAATTACTCAAAGATTTTCTAAGGGAAAATTACTCCAGCTAAGAGAAGGTTTAAGGTACAAATACTGTCGTAACATGCGCCTAGAAAGACAATGTTGGATTTGGACTGATACATCCCATCCTCAAAAAGAAATTATGAATTTCAAATAAGGAAAACATCACTATAACTAAGTGGTAGATAACACACCAAAAAAATAATTTTGCTACAAGTAAGATCCTTTAAATGTGAAGAATGATAGCATTCCTAAGAAAGAAATATTTCAAAAGAAATGGACACCTCTCAGTTGGCTAATAAATATGCAAAATTTTTAACTTCTCTAGTAATAAAAAATGAAAACTAAAGTAACACTGCATATTATTTTCCACCCATCAAATTGACGATGATTAAAAATCTATAATACTGAATGCCATTGAGAGTGATGAGAGGGGCACTTTTGTAAAATAAAATGGGAATATAATTTGATACAACTCTTTGGGAAAAGAATCTTAGCAGAGATATCCAAAACATTAAAAATGGTTGTTGCTTTCGATCCAATAATCCCAAATGCAAGAATCTACTAAAGAAATAATTTTAAAAGTTGGTAAAGATATATGTGTAAAGACATGTCTCATTTTGTTATTTATAGTAGCAAAAGGGAAAAGAAAAAAAGGAAACATTTTGAAGACTCAATAACAGGAGAAGTGTTGAATACGTTGTGGTTTATCCATTCAGCAAGAGACTCTGAAGCCGTGAAAAATCATTTTAGCAAAGTCTATTGAATCATATGGAAAATGCTCATATTATGATGTTAAGTGACAAAAGTAAGATATAAAACTGCACTTATGCCACCATTTTGTTGTAAATATCTACCTATCCATCCATCTACCTATCCAAAAACATACACTGAAAGGAGACAGACCACAGTGTTAACAGTTCAAATCCTTTCCCACCACTTGCTGGTTATGTGACTTTGTCAGTCCGCTTCACTGTTCTGTGTTACAGCTTTTTCGTCTATATGATGAGCACACAGAAGACTACCTAACTGATAAGTTTGTTGTGAAGATTAAGTTAGATAATGTGTGTGTTTAGTTCGACACCTAATAAATGCTAGCTATGGTAATAATTATTTGTGATTACTAAGAACACCAAGGGCCACTATAGAGACTTTCACGGCGTTGAGTGGATGGCGCCCACCATCTATACGATAAAGAAAATTTTCACCAGGGCAGGTTTCTAAGGATGCAATGACCAATGTGAGTGGTTAGGGGTGTGTATTTGGGGGAGAGGAGGGAAAGAAAGAGGAAGAGGAAAGGAGGAAAAAAGGGAAGGAGGGAGGAAGATGGGGGAAAAAGAAGAAAGACAGGAAAAAGGGAGCAGCAAACCTAAAAACAGACAAATGTGCTGTATTAAGTTAAAAAGGGAAATGTGGAGTACTGAGAGGTTACTAGAAATTCCAAGGCAAACCTCAGCCTGTGACATTTGGAGAACCCTGGGATAGACATTGTAAATGGGAACAATCAAGCCATTTTTATCAATTAATCATAATGAACTAGAAAGAAAAACACAGGCTTCGGATTAGAATCCTGGTGATGCTATTTTCTGACATTCTGTGACCTTGATCAAGTTATTTCACCTCACCTGTAAATGGGGCTAATAATTGCTATGTTGTGAGCATCAAGTGGGATCATATTTGTGGACGTCTGCACAGCTCCTGGAACACAGCATATGTGGAAGGTTTATTTCAGTTTGGCTACTGATTTGCTCTGTCTCCTGAAGCAAATGCGAGTGCTGGTAGGAAAACACTTGGTGGTTAAAGGCAGCCTTGCACGGTGCCAGGAGCAAAAGCAGATAGGTGGAGGAGGAGCTCTTTGCTGCTGTAAAGCAAGCTGCCCCTGTCCCCTCCTCCCAGCTCCCCTCCCCATGTGTGGCCAGCAGGCTGGATGGTTCTGCAAACAGCCCCTGGATCAATTCATTGACCACAAAACGGTGAGACAATGGGACCACCAGGAGCCTTGCTTTGCCCACTGGAGCGAAGGTCAGCATCAGATGCATTAAGAAATGGAAGCAATTTTCTTCCCACTGGAGGCTTCTATTAGTCATGATTGCCTGCATTTAGACAGACCCTGACATCTCCAGGGCTGGATTAGGGCTGAATCACCAACAAAATCTGGAGAGGAAACTGGCCCTGGAGTTGATACTTGGGCCAACTTGAACATTTTTAACTACCTCTTTGGACCGTGCCTCTTGTTTTTCTAACCCACAAACATTGCCACAGCCATCTGTGACTTCTTCCTCTCAAACACTGCCACGCCCACCAAATGACCAGCATCGACTGTTTCTTCTTCTGTGTTTCTCACAGCCATCCCCTCTCCTTCATGTCTGCTACCATTGCCTTACCGAGGATGCCCACCCTCCTACATCCACCCAGCCACTTCACTCACTCAGCCGGGGCTGCACCCTGAAGACACAGAGCTGAGACATTGCCCTGATCTCCAGGCGCTTATGATCTAATCAAAGAAGGAAACAAGGGACCTCTGCACATAAAAAAAAAAAAAAAAGAAAAAAAGAAAAAGTTAACGACCGTAAAGGAGCAGTCAAAAACATAGTATTTGCTTCCGATGAGCAGTGCAGGCAGTATCTGGAGTGTTTATTGGAGGGAAGGTGTTCTGCGAGCTTCGGAGCTCCGACAAGGCTTCCTGATGGTGGCTCTTGCATGGTCTGAGTGATTTTGATGAGCCTGGAGAAAGTAGTGATGCTAGAATAATACTCCTGTAATATTTTCAAAGAGCTGCTGGAAAATCACCTCTGCCTCACCAAAGATAAACGAACCATCCACTCTTCTCTACCTCCCTCCTGCTTCTTTCTACAAGGTTCTGCTGTTGCCTGTAACCACCATGTTGTAATCCCCAGTTGGTGTGTTTGTCTCTCTCCCTAGATTCTGAGTTCCTGGAGAGGAGGGATTTTATCTTCCTCAGTAGTTATGCTTTATGCCTAGCACTCGGTAGGTATTCAGGACGTGTTTGTTGACCTGAACTTGAATGAGCTAATTTGTGCATATTGGGTGGGGGAGGCGGAGAGGATGGAGCTCCCATCTGTGTGCTGTAGCCTCCGTCCATCCAGCTCCAAATGCATCTACGTGTGGTCTCCCTGCATTGGCACCCTGCCCATTCCTGTGTAGTTTTGCTTTACACTTTTGTTTGATGACTGTTTTCTCTCGAAATAAATGCCATTTTTTCCCTTTCCAGGTGGAGCCTCTGTATGAACTAGTGACAGCCACAGATTTTGCCTTTTCTAGCACAGTGAAGCAGAACATGAAACAGGCCCTGGAGGAGTTCCAGAAGGAAGTCAGCTCTTGCCACTGTGCTCCGTGCCAAGGGAATGGAGTCCCTGTGCTGAAAGGTACCACTTTCAGGCAGCTGGTGTCCCTTGTGGAAGTTATAATCTGGAGAAGGCTCCAAGGCCAGCTGTTTGCCTGCTTCTGTTTCCCAAGAAGTCAGAACGTAGGCAACTAGGAGATACTACTCTGGCTGTTAGGATACCTGCTTTTAGCCCCGACGGTCACAGTGGGTGACAGCAGCATTAAGCTGAAGACAGTTACAGGCTAAGGCCATGTGGTCTACAATAAGGAGTGGGAACAGACTCAGGAAATCTCTACTGATCCAAGAAGGGGGCCTGGGCTGAACAGGAGAAACCCTTTGTGCATGTCCTGATTAATATGTGGTGAGAAGATTTGAAGGAGGCAGCAAGGATGGGCCACTAGAACTCGATTGTTAACTTCAAGGTTCATATCTGGAGTCACTGCAGTGGGCAGGGCAAGCTGGGAGGGGTGGGGTCCAGGGATCATATGCGCCTATTGTGATAGGCTAATAAGGCTCTGAAGAAGAGTCCCAGTCTATCACCCAAAACAGGCAGCAGGAGCAGCTAGTTATAGCAAGTCCAGCCAGGGAGCCAGCTGGAATCAGGGCAGAGTCCATGTGAATGGAGCAAGCTTAACAGAGGGGACACAAAAGGAAGTGTATTCCTGGGCAGATGAGTTCCCATTGCCAGGCTGGGATTGAAGGATCTGCCTCTGGCTTCTTGGGCAGGATGCATATGCTCAAAGCAGACATAAGCGACAGTGTAAGGCCTGGAAGTTCGGCCATCAGCACAAGGATGCCATGTGAGGGTCAGCTCCACAGCAAATGGGATCAGCTCATCAGCTCAAGGTTTTGATCTGCGGTTGCTGAAATCCCCCTTGTCTTGTGTGAAATTTGGACCTAGAAGCTGGGACCCACCTGAGGCTGTAAGGTGGAGGTGAGGGAGAATGTGGAGGCACAGGCTGGGATGCTTGCAGGACCTGACCTATGAAGGACAGTCCTGTAAAGAGATTCTGTGTGATCCAGATGAGAAGGTCCATGACAGATTACAAATTAACACAGGGAATCACTTCCAAAGGGTCAGAACGGCCACAGGTAGGATGAGATATCCAAGAGTAATGAGTTCCCCATCCTAGAGCAGCAGTTCCCAACCATTTTGGCTTCAGGGACCAGTTTCATGGAAGACAATTTTTCCATAGACTGGAGGGCGGGGAGGAGGCATTAGATTGTCATAAAGAGCTTGCAACCTAGATCCCTTGCGTGCAGGTTTACGGTAGGGTTCGTGCTCCTATGAGAATCTAATGCCGCCACTGATCTGACAGGAGGCAGAGCTCAGGGGGTGATGTAAGCAATGGGGAGCGGCTGTAAATACAGATGAAGCTTTGCTTGCTTGATGGCCACTCACCTCCTGCTGTGTGGCCCGGTTTGTAACAGGCTGCACACTGGGGTTTGGGGACCACAGTCCTAGAGGTACCCAAGCAGAGGCTGGACAATTACTTGTGATGAAGCTGAGCATCAATGATGATTGGCCTCTGTGACTGCCAATGTAGCTTCTGACCCTGCAAGCTTATAAGTATAGGTCAAATGTCACGTAAGGAGTGATTGTCCTCAACAACTCCACGTAATTCCCTGGGATGGGAACAAATACCCCTTCATGGCAAAGGACCCTCAAGAAAGGAGGAGGTATTCTTGGCACTGAACCTGCTTATTGCAAACTGTTCCACTAAGTATATACTCTGCTGTAACCTGGTGGAAATGCAGTGATGCAGAGGGCTGAGCTCCAGGAGTTCTTTGCTCCACCTGGAGTGGGTCACAGTCTCTGCCTTGTCTTCTCAGAATCACGCTGTGACTGCATCTGTCCTGTTGGATTCCAAGGCCCAGCCTGTGAGATCACCGATCAGAAAAGTAAGGAGTCTTTGAGAGTTGGTTGGAAAAGCAAACTCTGGGCAAGTCCAGAGAATAATTCACAAGAACAACAGCAAGAACATGGTGGGGGTGTGGAGTAGAGGGCTGGACACTATGAAACTTGAGATCCATCCTTGCTCCTGATTGTATATTTCATTATTTTCATAACCGAGAGTGCTTCATGTTACAGCACTACCAATGCATGGCATTTGCAAGCCATCTCTTTGAATCATTCTGAGATGCTTACTCTCTTTTTCTACTCCTAGCGTGCTCCCATTTATCCCTCAAATTCCAGCACAGATGCCCTTCCTCTGTAAAAATTCTTCTAATCCCCCAAGTAGAATTAGTTTCTCCCATGGGGCCCTCCAGGACTTTGAACATGTATCTATCATAGCTCTTTGCACGTCGTGTTTTGGCTGGTGGCGTATCTATCTCCCCTGTGTCTGCGATCAGGGATCATGTTCCATTTACCTGTGTCTCCACGGTCAGGCACAGTTGTTGCCCAGTGACATCTGTTGAATTAACAAATGAAAGACTAGGCTATCATTAAGATCTCTTCCAGTGCTCCAATCCTTTGGCCAGTTTATTATTTAAGAGTTCCCAACCTTTTACACCTCTCTCACTTTTATTTTTTCCTGTGACCTGTTGGCGATACTCTTAGAAATGGAATGGCACATGCAATAAAAACAACCAACATTTACTAGACACTTTACTATGTATTAGGCACCTTGCTGAGTGCTCAGACTTAGCTTGGATTAAAATTCCATCTCCATCATCTAATAACTGTGACCTTGAACAAGATACTTGACTTCTTTATGCCTCAGTTTTCACACTTGAAAAATGGAGATGATCCTGTTAACTACCTCACGGAGTGTCTTGAGTTTGTAATGAGGACTATTAAGAACTTAGAATGATGCCTGACACATTGTAAAAGCAAGATCAACATTGATTACTTAGGTTTAGAGCATATCATTACTTTGTGTTTCACATACATTAAATCTTTTCATGCTTACAATGGCTCCAAGAAGTAGATACTATTGATATTCCCATTCTGTAAATGAAGAATCTGAAGTTCAATAGGTACCAAAGGAACTTGCCCAGTGGTCACACAGTAAGTTAGGAACCCAGGTTCATGTCCAGTGGGACTGACTGCACAGCCTTTGATCGTAATACCTGGCTGCACTCTGACCTCCCCAGCAAAAGCTCAGGTTTGTCCTCACTCTCTCTTCTCCTGCACCTCAACCAGTCCCCAAACAGTGACCTGCCCAGTGCGTGTGCAATCACACAACCACAGGATTTCTGCTGTTTGGAGGAGACCTTGAGAACCACCCACTCTAGCTCTCTCATTTTACAAATGAGGAGGCGCAGAGACATTAAGTAATTTACCCATAATTACACTGTGAGTCAGTGGCAAACCAGACACGTAATACATCATGATGGAAGTAATTGATCACTTGCCAATCTCATGAACAACCAAAAAACTCCTCAGGTGAAAGCCAGGTATCAGGGAGTAGAGAGCATCAGTGTTCGTTGTCACTTCATCTAAAACACACAATGCTCCTGGTAGATAACATAGCTCCTGTTTTATAGATCCAGAAGGAGTAAATTATCCATTATCACATAGCTGGGAAATGTCTAAGCTGGAAACCATTTATTCCTTAATTTATTCATCCATTTAACAAAAGTTTGCCAAGGGCCTCCTATGCGCCAGCCTTGGTGCTGGGTGAGTGAATCAGATATCACCCCCGTCATTGTGGAGATTGCACTTTACAAGGGAAGGTCAATGTTATTTGGATGGTCCCAGAAATGCATTTAAAGTTTCAATTGTAACAACTGCCACAAAATGCTCCGAGAGCTTACAATATGGGGGATTGATGGAGATGTAGGGATCATAGGAAGTTTCCCCAAGGAAATAACACTGTTACTGAGATTTGAAGGGTGAATAGGATTGACTAGGTGAGCACATGAAGAAAGAGTCTTCTGGTCAAGGGGAACAGCATGTGCAAAGGCCCTGTGGTAGGCAGGAGCCTGGCAAGTACAGTGGCCAGAAATAAGGACACTTCTTTAAAATATAGATATTAGTTTGTAAAATGCACATTGATTGGCCAAGGGAGATTAGAGATTCAGACTCCCAAAGTCTTTTGGCTTATATACCCCACCCCATCCAACTAGGGCACAAAAATATAAGAAGGGGTAATTAATGTTGATCTTCTTTCTTATAGATGTTCCTGTTGATGGGAAGTGGAGTTGCTGGTCAAACTGGTCTTCATGCTCTGGAGGACAGAAAACAAGACAAAGGCAGTGTAACAATCCACCTCCTCAGAATGGGGGCAGCCCCTGCTCAGGCCCTGCTTCAGACACGCTCACCTGCTAGGGGAGGGAGAGCTTCTAGCAGATGATACCGCTGTGGGATGCAACAGTGAGAGCTCTGAGCCCTCCAGAACTCAGGCCAGCTCGCCCCACACCACCTCCCACCTGGGCTCACCCAAGGGCGGGGGCAGTGCCATTCAGGCTGTTTAAAATATAGACATTAGTTTGTAAAATGCACATTGATTTGGATTGTGAGTTAAATAAAAATTGTAGGTTCCTTAAGGGCTTAAGCATCTTTACAATCCTCACTTTGCTCACTCTACAATTTTATTTCATTCATATTTACTACCAACCAGGAACTGTATTGGAAGTTGTTCACGTTGAGGCTCCACAATCTGTCAGTGACTAGCACATAGTAGCTGTCTAATAATGAATCGATGAATGGATATTAAGTTGTTCTTTCCTTGACAAGTACCAGGTCTTGGTCAATAATTACTGGCAGTTAATGTTTATTGGATAAGTACTATGTGCTAGCCACTGATTCGGTGTTTTAATTCATCCCATCCTCATGACAACGAGATGCTGTTATTAGCCCTATTAAACAATTGGGGGAACTGAGGCTTAGAATAGTTAAGTAACTTGTCCAAAGTTACACAGTTGGAAAGTGGCAGAGCTGGGCTGCAAACTTGGACTATAGAGTTTTAAATTCTTAACTATGATGCTCTCTTAGCTCTCAGTAAGTGATTAACAAGAAATTTTGAATGAAATAAAACACAGCAGAAAGTACTATGGATGTATGTGTGTGTGTTGTTGACAAATCTCTCCCTGCTCCCTTCTGAGAAGGTTGGATCCTGGTCCCTCAGCTCACTTTGATGCTGAGCACAGGAAGGGCATGCTTGTGCACGTCAGAAGCAGAGTTGTGGGGCAGAGCAGAATTGTTGTGCTTAATGAAGGAGTGACATGAGTGGGTGTCCAGGAGAGATTCTTCCTGAATGAGGGAAAGTTAAAGATAAACGACAGAAGGCCATGGTGGCTGGAAGAGGAATCACGTTAAGGAGAAATTCAAGTCGATGATCGTGGGACAATATGCAATGTAAACCCTCCCCTACATCCCCTATGAAATTGTCAGTACATTCTACTTTGCTCACTCACGCTTTTGTGCAAATACCATTTTGGGAGGGGAGCTTGATGAGGAGAATAAGAAGACAACTGATGTTTAGGATACCAAAAACCAAAATATTTTTTGTTTACTAGATTGTCAAGTAAATAACACTTACGCTTTATTTCTCTTGGTCATTCCATCACATTCAAACATCCCTCAATATTTCATTTGCTCTTGAACATTTCCTGTCTGATTGAAGTACGTCAGGTGAATGTGTTGAAATAAAATTGGTGGGGAAAATAAAGCCCTTGGCTAAAATTGCATTGGTTCGTCCTACTCATTTTCAACCCACTTGTTTTCTGCCACATCATCTGCTTCAAGTTCACTGCTGGGTTCAGTGCTGGGGCCTGAGACCTTAACACATGATCCCAAAGCTTTGGTTACTGCCACCCAGGAATCTGGCCCCACCACCTATCTGGAATCGAAATAGAACAACCATCGGAAGGAGCTGCTGCTTTTTCACTGCTCGGGGTTCCTGCAGCAAGTGTGGCAATTCTGCCTGCCTTCCTGCATCCCCCTGTCCCCTACAACTGAGCTGACAGGTCTGGGCCCTTGTTTGGCTTAATATTATTGCTTTGCAGTCTGCTGTTATTTCAACAGGCTAATCCAATAATGTTTTATCTCTTTCATTATACGGAGGCCGTATAATTTTCTTGAGTTATAATCTATCTTCTTTTAAGATTCCCCAGAGACAGGACAGAGCGGTTCTGTCTTTGGTTGATGGGAGGCTCCCATGAAGCCAACACTAGCAGGATGAAGCGAGCGCCGCCAAATTAAATCCTGAATCTCAATCACAGCCACCGCTTCTAATGGGAAATTTGAGTTGATTACGGAGATGACAGCCCAGGTTCACGTTTATTGCATTTAGCAGAAATTGTTTATCCTATTAAATATGGTCTTGAAGGAGAAACAATTGGATTTTGGAGCACCGGTGAATACCCGGGTGACGCCCAGGCGCTGCTAAACTATGTAATAATTATATTCTTATTTGTGGGCTGAACTTCCCCTTGTGGCTCTTTCTGCAAACAAATGCATTTAGGAGGAGGCTGAAACATAATGTAAGAATTAAACGAAATAAATGTAAAATGTGCTTTTGGAAAATCTTGGCAATGGTAGCTCGGAGTGGTATACCTAGGAAGGAGCTGTGATAGCTGAGGGGCAGGGCCCAGGCAGTATAGTTTGGCAGAGGTTCTGGAAGCTTGAACGTAGCACAAGATACCTGAAGGGGGGAGATTTTTGCATCCATGAGCATGAATCTTTGAAATGCTGTTGTCTCCTCGATGTGCTTAATGTCGGGGTGGGAGGCTTCCCATGTGTCCTGCGACTAATAACTTCTGTGGGAATAATAATTATTATAATTAGTTTAACAATAGTAATAATAATAATAGCTGCCAATTATAGAGTGCTTCCCAGTTTATGAAGTCTTTTAATCTACATTATCTCATTTAATCTTTATCTGAATTTGATGGGGTAGATATTAATACAGTCATCAGATGACAGGTAGAGAAAGCTTCAAATAGAAACTCAATCCTTCTAACTAATGGGCCAACTATAGAAATCAAGGTGTGATGCAGAGGCCAGGAGAAAGAGCACCTGCTGGCAGAGAATCCACACAGAGGGAAAATCCATCTCTTTCTTAAAGAAAAAGACTCAGACCTACTTCCAGGCACTTATAAAAATGTCCTCGGGAGAGGGTGGGCCTGGTGCGGAAAGCCCTTGGGAGCACCAACCTGGTGTCGCTTAGGACCTTGACATTCTCTACCTGGTGGAGAAACACCCTGACCATAGCGTCTTGCATGGAGCAGCCCCACCCCTTGCCCTCCTATTGAAGCCAATTCCTCACCATCCTCCAGGTCTCAGCCTGTTTCTTTTTTCAGACAGCCTTCTCTGATCCCATTAGCTTAAGACAGAGGTCTATTCTCTCTGTTCCCGTTTCAATCTGTGCTTCCCCCATTATAGCACTTGTTGCACTGTGCAGTGTTCACAAAGTCTGAAAACATAGACATTGTTTTGTTTTACAGATTGAAGATGTCCTTAATGACATCATGTCTGTCCACCAAGGTTTCCAGACTTTCAGGCATTGTATTATAATTTACTTGTTTATTATCTCTTGTTCCTTCTCAAATATAGTGTCCATGAAGACAGGAACAGTGTCTGTCTCCTGCACGAATATATCCCAAGTACCAAGGACAGTGCCTGGCACAAGTAGGCCACTCATAAATAACTGTTGCATGAATTAATGAACTAATGAGAAGGGACAAGTGGGGGTGAGGGAAGAGCCCTCCCATGCTGGCGAGAAACTTTAGTGAGTTGGTAGCACATGATAGTGGCATCATGAGAAGAGGCACAGTAACCCCAAAGAGAGAGGACCCCACACATCACTGAAGGGGAGGCACCTTCAGCTGGCTTTGTGGGCAGCATTGCAGAAGAGAAATGAAAGAGGAGGAAAAACAGCTGATGTTGGGAGGGGCAGATAGACTTGTTTCGGGGTGGTGCTGGTGACACCCCTGCTAATGACCAGGAATCTCCAGGGAAACTTTACAAAGGAAGGGAACAGCACAACTCTGCAATTACCGAGGGGAATAAACCTGAGAAGTACATTTACAAGTGGATGAGAAAACCAAGGCTCAAGAGGTTTTAAGAGGCCAGTATGTGGCAGAGGCAGGAAAGAGCAACTTAAAGAAAAAAATTATCTTCCAACATTCTGTATCAACCTCAGTGTTTTCATCTCTAGATTAGTTTTAAACCTGGAATGCCCACCTAAAACCTAGCAGCCACACACTGCGACAGTGCGTGTTAGCTCTCTGAGAGTCCCTGTTCGTTGGATGTTGTCATGAAATCAGATTTTTCTATATTATGTTTTCTTCTTTGAGTTATCTTTCTTAAATGTTAGGCCAGATTCCAATACTGAGGTGTTCAGAAACTCGGGGATCTGTTTATGGAGATACTGGGGGAAATGTCATGACCTCTTAGGCAAATCTGGGAAGACAGCAGAGAGAGAGGCCTAACAGCCTAGGGCTTAGAAGCCAGACTGCTGGCACTTGGAGAGTGGCTCTGTGACTTCCTACTCTGTGGCCTTGTGCAAGCTACGTGCTGCTCTGTGTCTCCATGTCTTCGTCTGGAAGATGGGGATGATGACAGGATCGGCCTCCTGGGGCTTTGTGAGCATTACGTGAATTACTGTACTAAGGAGAGCACCCTGCACCCAGTAAGCACTCCATAATTAGCTGTGCCACCACCATCATTGTTTCCAGGGATTCCCAGAGCATCAACCACCACCTCAGGTTGCTTTTTTAAAAAGTCATTTAAAACTCCTTTAAGGACATTTCAGTACAAAACCCACTATAACATACAAGAACAAAAAGACATAAAATAGCTTAGTTCCTAGGAGATGTCTTAATAAAGGACATGGAAGGCTTTTATATCCCAAGCTCTGGGTTATTAAGGAAAAATGTATCAGCGTAATAACTAATATTTGCAGAGGGCATTACCAGTTACAAAGAACTTTCACGTACCTAATCCAGCTTAATCCTCTCAGTGCCTGCAAGAGGAAGGATTTATTATCTACCTTTGACAGGTGATGAGACAGAGCCTCGGAGAGCCTGAGTGATTTGCTCAAGACCACACAGCTCAAAAGCGGCAGAACTCAGTCCAAGGGCTGTTGGCACCCACCGCAGCAAAAGCAGGTCTGGCTTCATCCATAGAGCAAATGCCCACCTGCTTGCTTACATAGAAGAGGCAGAGAGAGGTACTTGGTCCGCTATCCCTGCAACAGAGAAGCTGAGTGGGTTTGGAGGGCTTTGCAGCAGACAGACAGAGGTGTAAGACCCAATGCCATCACTTCCTAGCTGTGTGACTTTCATCAAGTCACTTACCCACTCTGTGCCTCAGCACCCTCATCAGAAAATGAAGCCATTAATCCCCAGGGCACAGATGTAAGCATTAAATGAAAAGACATATATAAAGGGACTACCACCACCCCAAAGGGCCTGGTACATGGTGGATGCTCAACTGCCTTCCTGTTCTTGGGTGCTGAAAAAAACAACCCTGCCTAATTTTTGCCCCTTTGTACCCTGTCTAGCATCTGTCTCTTTGAGCAAGTAGATGCATTTTACAAAAAGAAAAAAGAGAAGAAATAGCGATCGCATTTGCAGTGAGAATTCTCAGAGGATTATCAAAGGGAGTCAAGTAGCTGCTCTGACATTCACCTCTGTGCAGGGGGCTGCACCAGAGCCTGGACACCCCTGTTATCACTATTGGCTGCATCCACCAGTTATCTCAAGTCTACACCTTGCAACCTCAGGTGTTCCTTCATCCATCATTGGCCGTTGTCTGGTACCCACTCCTCCTTCCCTCACCACCTCCTGCCAGATGACTCCTTGTTAATAAGCCAGTTTGTTCACATCCTGAAAACTATCTGATTCTGGCCCCTTTTATCCCAAACACTATCCATCCGTCAACTGCTTGCTCCACTGGCTTGGTTAGGAAAATGGGAATGGGGGAGGGAGACAAGTACCAGATAAAACTTCTTAGCTGCTATCTCCAAAGAAATAGAATGGATAAATAGATCCGTCAGACATGTATCATGCCACTGGACAGCAAAGTCCATTTGTTAAAAACAGATTAGGATGGGAGGATTTATCTCACATTTTAAGCTGTTAATATAGAAGGGAAACATATTTTCCTTTATCTCTCCCAGGGGAAGAGGGGAAATCCTAAGGCCACGAATGAGGAATTTTTAACTCGATTTGATGGACTTTCCTTAACTAAGGCAGAAAAGATGGGCTCTGTCTTGAATTTGTGCAGCCCCCAGAGGTGGCGTGGGCTCGGCTGTCCTTTGATGCACCGGGAAGGCTGCAGGACTCAGGAGTCCCGTGAAAGTGTCTTTCATTGGGTTTTCTCTCACAAGTTCCTGCACATTAGATACAAATGCCGTTCTAGAGCCGAGAACAGAATCCAACAAACTTCCACTGGAAAGCTCCTGTGTGCCAAGCACTATGCTAGCTGCTGGGGCTTCGATGGTAATAGGAGTCCCCATCTGCCCTGCAAGAAGTCACTGGGTGGGGGAGACAGACAAGTAGGTTACGGTGATAGAGCGTGCAACGTGCAGGGACACAAGGCCATATGAGGGCGTAGCACCTGATAAAAAAAGTTCAGGGAAATGGGAGGTGTCAGGGTTGGCTTTTCTAACCTGGGCCCTGAAGATTACTGGTGAGGGGCTAGGAGAAGAGGGGAGCTGGGCAGTGAGGTGGGGT